GCTCGTTAGTGACTCCAAACATCCCGATATGCAGATGACACTCAACTATTTCTGTCTGTTATCCAAAAGTTGAAGCATGCAGCCCTGTGAGTTGCTGTTATCTCTGCACACCAAGTAGAGCTCAACCTTCAAAACACCAACTGCCTCGTCTTTCTGGTGCACAAATCACACATCCATGACCTCTTGAAATGGATTGATTATTGGTCTTCTGATACAACCGTACAGAAAAGTGTACAGGCTAACATTTCTCAACTATAACTTTATTCTTGTAATATTACGACTTTATTCTGTTGTGTTTCAGAGTGATGTGGTTATCTTACAGTTCTCTGACATTTGGTCCATTTCTCTTGATGATGGTTTATCGAGCCTGCCTCTCGCTGTGGGTCAAAGGTCAGGTCAGTGTGTTAAGAATTTCACACTGTCCTGACCTTTGACTGTGTTCACAGTTAACAAATCAGCGCCTCTGCACTCTGTTGGACATTTTGCTGTTGCTTCATAACTCCTAACAGCCCTCTGTTTCATCACATTTTAATTAAAAAAAAGTTTGATTACAAAAGCTGCACAGACTTCATACTGTAGGTGAAGTGCAAGTTTGTCCACAAGGTCACTTTGCTCAGTCTGTGGTTTAGCAGCATTTTCCAGTAGTCCTCCTTGCTCACAGAGACCTCCCTGTGGAGTCATATCCTCCCCCTTCAAATTCCTCACAGCGAGTGGGGCCAGGCCGCCCCTCTTGTTCATGTGATCAGGAACACCAGCTGCTATTTCAGACTGACCTCCAGAGCTCCTCACAGGCCTGCAAGGACAATAGATGCATGAATGCGAGCATGAACATGCTCGCACATGCGCCAACACGCCCCCTGTCTGTGTTTCCCCTCCTCGCCATGAGAGCCAAACACAACAGGCAGAGCTGCAGCTCACTGAGGCATCAACGTTTCAGCAGGCGGCGTTATCTATGTCTTTACCCTCATGAACCGATTGAACAAAGATGGCGGATCACAGAAAGCATGAAATATAGTCCTAGTATTGTCTAAATTTGAAACCCAAGGCCCCTCTCTGCTCCTTTGAAAAGACTGGATTCTCAACTTGAATGACAAAACGGTACTGGGAATCCTCTGGTGGTTTAATTCGTATAATAGGGGATGAATTTGCAAAGTCAGAAGAAGCCCCCCCCGGGAAGTCAGTCCCCATAGAGCCCCATATTAAAATGTCCAAGGGAAAGAGGCCAAACTCCAGGCTTGGAAAGTTTTTTTTTTGCTACTGCAGTGCTCTATCATTACAGTTTGATCTCTTAATTTGTTCTTTTGTCGTCCTCATTGCCTCATAAATTATGTTTGAACACACAGTCGGCCTACATGTAAAACCTTTTGGATGCTTCCTGCTCTACAAACAAACCCGTCTGACCCCGTTGACACTCAATGAAACCTTTTCATTCAGGAAACCACAAACAGCAGCGGCAGCAGCTGAGTAAATGGAGAGCTCTGTGGTTATGAGATGTAACCACAGCAGCAGCAGAACTAAGACTCAACATGCGCTGCTATATCACAGCCTGCTGTCTTTAGAGACTGTATGAAAAGGAATGAAAACGTCTTCAACATGCTGACTTTGCAACTTAAGCATTACGTAATAGTCGAGATGTAATCCTGTGGTGATACTGGGTTAACGTGATTTGTTTATGTCAAGTCATTAAATATATGAAGGTCAGCCCCAAACCATGTCACATGTCTCTTTGTGGAGTAAGTTCAAGCATGTGATGCTAAATGTGGTATAAGCTAACCTATTATTTTAAACATTTAACTTTGTAGAAATGCTGATGAGAAGACGTTTGACCGCAGAGAAAATATCAAGATCGACGTCTATTCTCTTTCCCCAGAATGTAAATGCTGAACTTTTTTAATCGGCTAGATAATGACATACAAGCATTTCTTATCCCCTCCACTGTGATCACAGAGGACCCTGTCTCACCCCCTCCACCCTGATCACAGAGGACCTGTCTCACCCCCTCCACCCTGATCACAGAGGACCTGTCTTACCCCCTCCACCCTGATCACAGAGGACCTGTCTCACCCCCTCCACCCTGATCACAGAGGACCCGTCTTACCCCCTCCACCCTGATCACAGGGACCCGTCTTACCCCCTCCACCCTGATCACAGGGACCCGTCTCACCCCCTCCACCCTGATCACAGAGGACCCGTCTCACCCCCTCCACCCTGATCACAGAGGACCCGTCTCACCCCTCCACCCTGATCACAGGGGACCCGTCTCACCCCTCCACCCTGATCACAGAGGACCCATCTCAGCCCCTTCACCCTGATCACAGAGGACCCGTCTCACCCCCTCCACCCTTATCACAGAGGACCCGTCTCACCACCTCCACCCTGATCACAGGGACCTGTCTCACCCCCTCCACCCTGATCACAGAGGACCCGTCTCACCCCCTCCACCCTTATCACAGAGGACCCGTCTCACCCCCTCCACCCTTATCACAAAGGACCCGTCTCACCCCCTCCACCCTTATCACAGAGGACCCGTCTCAAGGTTCACGGGGTTCGATGGTGTGGTAGTCGTCACTTTGCCTGTGTGGATTTAGCTCGCTGTAATGGAAACATAGTTTGAGTTGGAGCTGATAATAAAGGCTGAAGCCTAACTGTCCCTGATGGAGCGCACAGCTGTTTCCATCAGCAGGCGGGCGCGTCAAAGATGGAGCCTTAAAATAGAGCGGCCCTCGTGTGGAAGCTGCAGCAGCAACAACGTTCACATACAGGACTTCATGTGTTCACGGGTTAGCACTGACTGTGGAAATGACCGCTTTTTATCTCTCTCAGTGTTCATATTTTATTCAACAAACAGGATACACGTAAATGGAATCCATTTCCCATGACCCTTTGCCACCTCACTCGGTCACACGGCCCTGTGAGGCGCACGCACATACGCACCAAACATCCACCTTTTTCCATCAGAGAGCAAAGCGGCGTGCAAACTGAGGGTTTTGATGGGCAGACAAATGGATTGTAATGACGGCAGAGTTCGTGTGCAGACCTGAACAGGACCAGGACCATTAGAGGGTCAGGTCTCAGTGTGCAGCAGCAGGTAGAGCTGCTCATGAAATGAATCACACATGAGCTGCTCTGCAAACAGAGGAGGTGATGTACAATGTGATTCATATCAGTATGTCCGCCAGCATCACGAGGAGTTGGTTGTAAACAAGCCGCTATCTTAAGGGTACAGTGGATGCGTGCAAATTGAAAATATCACCAGGAGATCCGCCGGAGATCTTTTTTCCATTACTCCTTTATCCAACTTATTCTCTCTCTCTTCAAAATGCAGGAAAGTAACTCCAGAAAGACAGATTATAACATATTACAATATTCTTGTCTGGGGTGCAGATGGCCTAGCGGTTAGGTCGCGCCCCATGTACATAGGCTTTAGCCCTCTTATCGGACGGCCCGGGTTAGAGTCCAACCTGTGGCTACTTGCTTGCATGTCATTCTCCGCTCTCTCTCTCTCTCTCTCTTCCTGGGTTCTCTATCCACTGTCCCATTAAGGAAAGGCAAAAAGCCCCCCACAACCATTTCTAAATATCATCATAGCTCACGGTTTAAAAACAGAGAAACCCCCTTTAAGGAAAGGTTTGCATTCTCCTTTAAATCATGATTCTATCACCTGAAAGAAGAAGTCTCTGGACAACCAAACAGGAAGGAGTGGAGTGAGCACGCCCTCATGTGGCGGTGCACAAGAACTACAATGTAAAGCAAGATGCTGATTATTTGAGAGGTAGTGAGGGCTGCACGATATTGGAAACGACTGACTTTGGATTTTCTTTACTATCTGCAATATAAGGTGCAATATGCCAGAAAAATACAGAAAATCGAATCAGATAAATGCAGCTGGCTTTTTATGAACATATTGAGGTGAATTACGCCCCCGGTGGTCTCGTGGTTGGAGTGCAGAGGCTGCAGTCCTCTAAGCAGGCGGCTCAGATATGAAAAGCACTTTTTAAACATTGTTAACTTACTGTTTTTTTGGACTGAGTTGCTTGTAATAAGAACAAATATCTGCCAATTGGGTGATCTTTGAGAGATAAACTAATTTAGATTTTAATTCAAGACACTCAAGTACATTTTCTCACTTCATTTAAGTGTCTTCTAAAGATTATAAGTACTTGATGTTAGAAAATATTTTGATCATGAAGTGTGGTAAATAAACATATCGAAGAGTGCATATTCTTTAAGTAGTTTATTTGACCACTAAAGCGACACAAGTTAATCTGAAGGTAGCCGATGTTTATGTTAGGCTTCATCAACATGTTGAAGCGTGACCGTTTAACCTGGGCCTCGACTGCACAGGTCAAATGTGCACAAACTGAGAGTGAGGGAGAAATTATTTCCTTTTAAAAAGGACAGATTATCCCCATCTCCAGATTTTGAAACAGTCCCGTGCTCTAAATGAAACATCTGAGCCGTGCTTTGGTCAAAATATAACATGAATCAAGCACCAGAGGTTTGTGACCCTGTATAAACCAGCTCTCTCAGAACGCTCCATTTTGGTGTGTGTTTCTTTAAATGCAGTGAGCCCCTCCTGAGTTTTCCCCATAGACATCTCTTTACTGAGAATAAAAATGGCAGACATTTTCAAAAGTGTTGCTCTAGGCTGGGGGTGGAGTCCGTGGGTGGAAATACCAGGAAAGGAAGTTTTTTTACCAGAATCCCACTGTGACATCACAAAGAGAGCACATTTGAAACACAGTATTTTTCTCTGTGTTGTAAGACTTATGCAGACCACAAACAAAATACTGGATGGATTTATTTCACATTTTGTGGGTCAGTAGACACTCAGGTTACCCATATACATGTTCAGAAACACTGTAGAAGTGGTTTCTTCATGTCCCCTTTAAGTTTCTGTTTCCCTGAAGTGCTGAATCACGATGACACACAGCAAGTTTTCTGTGAGGCTTTATGACCAAACATGTTGGTTAAAGAGAACATAAGAGACACAGTCCGTGTTTCCCAGGGATCTTAAGTCTTTTATTTTCTAATGACAGGAAATGATCAAACCAGACAGGCGTTTAGTTTCTACAGAGGGATCTTTTCTGTCTTGAGTGACAGTTCCATCGTCTCCTTGCTGGTTTTAAATATACATGAGTAGAAGCAGCTCGGAGGACGAGCCGGCAACATAAATATAGAAAACTGCTGTGTGCGCTGTGGAGGAGCTCTGGGGTGGGGTCGGAGGTGGAGGTGGAGACTCAGGACTCAGTGAAGGAGTAAGAGAAGGGGGCGGGGTTTACTCAGTGAGGCCGAGCTTCTTCTTCAGGGACTCGGGCATCTCGGGGGGAAGGGGGCGGGGCAGGCGGAAGTAGACCTTGACAGAGTCGTAGATGAACCATTGCAGGGCGGTCAGAGTACCGATCATGATGATACGGGCGATCAGACCCTTCCACACACCTGGACACACGAGAGAGAGACACACACACAGAACATTGTGAGAAGATGTACAAGGTCATTACATTCTTTTACATGTCCGGCATTAATCTGAGCTTCTGTCTCGTGGCATCCTGTACCGTGATGTTCTGCAGACAGCCTGCGTCCATACTTACACATATCTTTCTGACACGATCAATCTTCTCACAACATTTAGAGTTACAGTTAAACATTTAAATGTCCGTCCCCCAGACTAGCAGCACTGGGGTCTCCCTGTCTGTTCAACAGGGTTGCCAGTGCTGCATGTGGGCTGGGAGGACAGGTGGACTGTTCTCACACGCCAATGACTCAAGCACCTCCAACTGTACAGCCACAAAAGCTGCCGAGGGCACAGCGCCCTCCAGAGGTGGATCTAAGGAGCGTGTTGATCCCTAACGATGCTTTTAAGGATCGATGTAGGTATATTTCTGAGGGCTGGTATTGATACACACCTCTGGGTCCCAGCTTCTTGAGGACCTGGGCTGCTGTGCTGCCACTCTCCTTGTTCAGCACAGAGACCACGGAGTCAGCGGGGTGAGACACGATGGCACAGAAGACACCGGCTGCAGAAACAGAGAGCAAGAGGAATACATCAGAGATGAACAGAGAACATCATCAGCATGTTAAACTCATTGTTTATATGCAGCTACATTGGCAAGAAAACATTTATACTCAAACTGCTGGAAACGTCTACACACATCTGATAGTCGATGTCTCTTTAACAATTTAATATTTTTCTGGAATCGTAAGAAAGCAAACTCTAAGAGCATGTCCTAACAGACGGGGACGCAAGCGAACATCAGCTTTTATCTAAAAATCAAGAAATGACAAAATATGGCTGCCTAGAACTTTTATTTTTGTTGCTGTGGTATCAAACAGGTATCGATATCGTTTGATTTTGACTAAAATCATTGTAAGTTTAAAATCTGGTTTTGTGACAACCCTACTAACATCTCTGATACTGAACATGAAACTTCAGTCCCTGACCCTTCTTCCACGGCGCCAGGCCGACAGAAAGTGAACATTGACACATCATCGCCCTGCGGCGGGTTTCACTTTCATTCATAGATTATTTTAAAGATCTGAACTGCAGGAGAGTGAATAAAACTGACGCTCTGCAGATAATCCACGTGCAGTTTGTTGAAGGTGAAAATCATGTTTCCGTTCAGATGTTTTACTCACCGATATAACCGGCCACGAAGGTGACCACCAGCTGCTCTCCTTTGCTGCACTCGCTGCGGGGTTTGGGAACGACGTGCTTGTAGAGCAGCTCCACGGTGCGCTCGAAGCAGGAGAACTTCATCATGGTGTAAGGGATCTGCCTCATCCACAGGGGGACGACGCCTTTGTAGAAACTGGAGGGAGACGAGTGGGGTCAATTCAATTAGATAATTAAACCAGACAAGTCAAGGACTCGTCCCGTCAGGTCGTACATTTATCATTAAAATATGATGTCAGGTAGTAAACTTTAAGCTTTCTGTGTCCGTCCCCCAGACTAGCAGCACTGGGGTCTCCCTGTCTGTTCAACAGGGTTGCCAGTGCTGCATGTGGGCTGGGAGGACAGGTGGACTGTTCTCACACGCCAATGACTCAAGCACCTCCAACTGTACAGCCACAAAAGCTGCCGAGGGCACAGCGCCCTCCAGAGGTGGATCTAAGGAGCGTGTTGCACACAGGTATTGATGGCATGCCGGCGAGTAATTTAAGTGTGCACACTTACGCCCAGATGCCCTCCTCGGCGAACATCTTGGGGACGGCCTGCCTGAGGGTGTTGGCGTAGCCCGGCTTGGTCTGGATGCGGACCTTCACGGCCTCCATGGGAGCCAGGGCGATGTCAGCGAAGAACTCTGCGCTGGCTGAGGCGGCCAGGTACAACGATGTCCTCCACAGGTACGTGTTCTCCTGTTACAGAGAAAACACAGAGCGGTCAGACGTCTCCGGTTTCACAAACACATTTGAGATACCCCCGCATTTGTAACCGCCAAAAGTTGCAGTTAAACTCCTGTAGGCCGTCTAAATCGTAAAAACACGAAGGAAATGTTTCTTTTTTGGTGTGTAATTTAGACCGTGTCTCCTCCTTGGCTCTCCGTGTTTAGGTAAAGCAGTTTTCACATCTGCACTCCTGAATGCATCGAGATAATTTCAGAGGACTGGTTAGAACATGGAGATGTTTGTGTCACACAAAACAAATGTTACTGTAAGTGACTTTAAGTGACTCCAGAAAGACTCGAAACTTCAGTATACGTCTTCTTCTGGACCTCGATGTTCTCTCTCCCTCACAGCAGCTTTTGGTAAAAAATACGCCTGAAGCTCGGATGTTATTTTCAAGCTTTCATACTTTTCAATCAGAGATTTTATCGTCTTTTTTATTTAAACATGAGGTATCAGGAAGTATAGTAAACATTTTGACAATCTTATAAATGGAGGTGTGGTCAAACAGTGCAGCCAGTTAATGACAGCAACAGTCAAACATGAACCTCAGACAGATGTTTGGTTCAGACTCAGAGCTCTAACGTGCCCACAGTTTAACGATGACAACGTGAACATTTATCTACTTCTGAAAACATACAGAACAAAATCTCAGAATCTGTGGTGAACAGCATGATGCGTCATCATAGCAAGAGGTCGTAACTCGAGAACACAGACAAGAACCAACACGCCTTCTCCTCCTCCTCCCGTGTTGCAGCTCACCTCTCCCAGCAGGTCGCTGTAGAAGATCTTGAACACCTCATAGAAGCCGAACTTGCAGAGTCCCTGCATGGAGTATCCGATGAAGGTGGGAGCCCAGCCCTTAGCGAGACCTCTGACGCCATCTTCCCTCACCGTCACTGAGAAGCCGTTTCCGATGCTCTTGTATTTATCTGGGTCGACCTGAACAGGTGGAGATAAGAGAGTGAGACAGGACACCAAACGACATGGAGCTCTGAGATCTGCTGTTCTGAGCAGATTACTCATGAAGAGGGGCAAATACAGGAGATCTTAGTGCTAAAGGGGGGTAGCTACATTAACGCTTTCTGGACTACAATTAAGATGTTTGAACCTCAATGAGACTACAGAGTGTAGTCAGGGTGGGGCTTAAACTTTTTATGCTGTCCAGACTTTTATTAAACAGCACAACTCAGACCTTGACCACGTGCATACAGATATCTTCAGGACGGATATTTCCCCCGACAACTTGTTCTGGTTTGAACACAAAGTTAAATATTTTAGCTTACTGACTTTTACACTCGTATTTCCCATGTACATATGTTTCCTTTAAATGCATCATTACAACCTCCTGAGGGAGAAAAGACGGTAAACAGTGACGACAGGCAGGTGGCTATATGTATGCCACAAGCCTGGTCTGTGTCACCATCTATCCCAGCATGCTTTGCACACAGAAGTAGCTGCTTGTATGTATATTGGAAGCCATTTTTCAATGGCATCAGGCAGTGGTGCCTAAGGAAGTGGGTATACTTCTTTAGGGTAACACCATAATTTTCCCCCAAAATGTTTTTTTAAGTGGCCTGTCCAGCAGATGCCAATCGTCCTTAGTTATTAACAGTGACATTTAAGACTACTCTTTCATAGTTGGTGTGTATTAGCCAATTAGAAAAGGAGTAGGGCGGGTCATCCCTCCACCATCCTTGTAGCAGGCTACTGAATATTGTCTATTAATAAATGGTGTGAGTAAGAGGGGACTTAGAAGTGGGTATACCCTGAGGACTAAAAAATAAGTTGGTATACCGCGCACTATACCACTGGCGTCAGGTTGTGCAACAAGGGGATCGGAGTTGCACCAACGTGTTGAACTACTCTCCAATCATTTCAGGCACAAGAGGAAGCAAAAACAGGCATGTGCAGACTAGTCTGATGAAACACTAGTTTTGCACGTCCACACAGATAAACTAAAGAATTCAAAGAGTCTCCACCCTTTTATTATTCTCTGACTACTTCAGCATCCGCATCACAGAAGATATCTGTATGCATGTGGACAAGTCATTGATGTTTCAAAATGGCCGCCATGAAGTCCTGACCCTACATGAGGCTGCAGGAGCGGCTTTCTACTCGTCACTACTGTGGGGTGGGGATATGGGGGTTCAGCTTCAGTACAAACCTGCAGGCGGCACTTGACAAGGTCGAGGGGCACCACTGCTGTGTGCGTGATACCGCAGCTCAGGATACCCCCAAAGCCACACAGGGCATAGTACTTATTGGAGCCAAACTCACAGCTGTCACCTGGTAGAAGGTGGGGACACACAGTATACATGCGACATGCAGGGTGACGTGCAGCACAGGACAAAAAAATCAACACCACATCAGAGACACTTAATGGACGAGTCCTCAACGTGGCAGGAACAAAAGCTCCAGTTTCCTCTTTTTTAAATTAAAACCATTTAAATAGTTTGAGGACTCGTCCATTAAAGACGCCCTGCCACTAACATGCCACCATCATCAGGATAAAACCCCAGAGGGCGATCAGATCATTGTTCATACATGATTTAAAGATGAATCGTTCACGGACCACAGTGATGAATGCAAATAAAAAAGGACATACCGCAAGTTTTCTCCAGACTTAGTTTGGTGTAAAGCGCCGAGTTCAGGTTGAACAATGTTGTTAGCGCTTCAAAGAATATGTTTTTCCTCAACATGAAAAACAACGAACCTTTTAAATAAACTGGTTTGATTTATTCTGAAGGGAAAGGCCTCTTTAGATGGTTCAGCTACTGCTGGAACACATGCAAGTGATTCAAATAAAAGGAATCCAGATGAGCTAACGTGGTTAGCAGCAGCCGACTCGTAGCTTCCTGATTGACCTGAGTTTGCTATAATGCAAACGTACAGACTGTAAACGTTAATGTTTGAAGCCTGAGTACGACACCAATCTGTTCCTGCAGGGGGCGCTGGCGTCCAATCGATGGTGGTCTCCATGCTGGAAATGCTGTCTCTCAAAGACAAAAGTTCACAAGTTTTGTTTTGTTCAAAAGTTCAAGTTTTGACAAAAGTTCAAAAGACCAAACCGGTGTAAACCTGTTTGGTTTTTTGAACCAGGCTGTAAACCTGTTAATCTTTGCTGTAAAAACAGGCTTTTTAGAATGGGTGTGAATGTGACTTCATGTGCTTCTGGAGCCAGCCTCTAGTGGACACTCAAGGAACTGCAGGATTTCACACTTCAGATTCATTTTTCTACACCGGAAGTTACCGCTTGCCTAATATTCTCTTCATTTTTCAAAAATAATCTGTACTTACAAGTACAAACATCTTAAATGTGCAGAGGAAAATTTGAGCAGTATTGAAAACAACTAACGTTTAACATAGAATAGCCCATTACTTGAATGAGTCCGTCATTATCAGGATGCTCTTCCAGCTCACAGCGTTGTCATCTTTATATCATGATTTATAACGACGTTGATCCAGCATGATTTAGGTATTTGCCGCGTGGCCCGGCCCGCGTTTACGTGATCAATGCAAACCATCACTGTGGCCCAGGAATTGGTGATCAGAATCAATGACAGCAATAAAATCATTTTTTATGCAAATTTTAACTTTCTCACATTTAGTTCTAACCCAATGTCTGTATCTTAAATGCATGAATCACTGGAGACTTACCTGGCAGTCAGACTATTAATGAGCAGTAACAAAAAGTCTTGAAAGTCTGTGTTAATGTGTGTTTTGACCGTCAGTCACGAGACTGAAACACCTGCTGGTGTCTGACATAACGTAGGAAACATTCTGGACGTTTTCTCCTTCAGGTCTGACTCTCCTGACCTTCACGGACTTGAGTCCTCTACTATGTGGGGACTGGGGGGGGGGGCTGTGGGTCGGCAACGTGGGGTAGAAACAATTGAACACACAAACACCGTTGCAGAATCATGCAGCCATGTTATGATCACTCCAACACATTAGAATCATGGGAATCAGTGACTTCACCACAACCGGGCGGATGCGATTTATTTCTTCCATGCAAATTCTTCACAAAAGAAAAAACACGAGGGGGGTTATGGGTGGATGAGACGTGACGGTATAAAAATAAAAGACACTGAGCCGAGGGGACAGACCTGCATTCTGCATTTGACCAGATCGAGAGGAACGACGGCTGTGTGTGTGGTGCCACAGCTCAGAATCCCACCAAATCCACACAGGACCAAATACTTCTGAGAGCCGAACTCACAACTGTCTCCCTCTGAAGAAACACAGTGACACGGTCATAACATCTCGGAGCTCGGGGAGGAGGGCATCAGTGTTAGGACGTCCTGCCTATCTGAACCCTGACATGTGAGGAGCCTGACTGGTTAAACATGTTACCTTCAAACCAGACGAACCAAAAGCTCTCAAACACAGGTACACAGAGGAACTCGCAGCGTCTAAATTGTAAAAATGTGTTGATGAAATGTTCGACGTATTCGTGCAGGAGTACGCCTGCCACACTGGGCTGATAAAACTGGCTTCCTTTTTGTTGCCGAGGCAATGAAACAGGTATTGATAGATTTTTTTTCACATTTAAAATTGTGGCATCATTACAACCTTACTTCCCAGTTTGTCAAAATGTAAATGCATCTCAGCTTTTACAAGAAAGTTGGGCTTTAAAGTTGTTTTTAATTAACTAAAACATAAGCACCAACACCTGCACGCAGTCTGAATTGCTCAAACATCTGTAACGTTTTGCATTTCAAGCACTTCAGACTCCGCTCCATCTTTTGGTTGAAAATATGACTGAACATCTGAAGTAGGGCTGCACAATACGGGGGAAAAGCATTCGTAACATTTGGACCTCTTCTCTGCCTAATGCAATATGAGAAATACAGAAAATCAAACGGGTAAAAGCGGTCTGTTTTTGTGAACATTTTAGCCCTGCATGATATTAGAACAGTGTGCGATTACTTTTTAATTAATTTTATTGACAAAATTAAGCGCCTTAACCGGAAAACTAAGAGGGGCGTGTTAGATAAAACACAGTTTTTTGTCTATCAGCTGATCTTCATGTTTACACAATACTTGTGTTTACATGTTGAAGGATGGCATTTACACCTTGGCCTCCATTAAAAATGTCAAATATACACTGAGTGAGAAATTAGGCGTTTCTTTACATATCATACATTTTGTAATTGCAGTATATTTAGACTTCTGCCATGTGTTTGTTTTTTTGCAAATTCTCATTATGCATTAATGATGCAGTGATCGTGCAGCCTTAATCTGAAGTTTTGGCATCGTTTTAAAACAGTTGTATTGAGAAGTAATTCAATAATTAAATAGGAGGCCAGCACAAGAAGTGTTGGACCTCAGGGGCCGAATTTGACATTTTTAAAAACACTCGACCCCGTGCAAAATCAGTAGGCGACATTAAAAGTGAGTTGGGGTTCAGTCTTTACTGCTCATCATATTTCATTCAAACTGGGACAATGTGTTCCCCTTCAGCTGGGGATCACGTGTCTTTTAATGATTCCTTTATGATTCTTTTACTTAATCACGGATCCTCCTGTAGCAGCCTTTAATGTATCTTAAAGATCCGGACTGAAACAGAATACTGTGTGCAGCACCGCGACAGAGAGAATCCACTTTGTCCTTCCTTGTCCTCCACAGGCACCTTGTGAGGCCTGTAAGCTAACTCCTCCAACAACCGTGTAATGTGACCTTCAATGTAAATAAAAGCGATCGAATAAAACATCAAACTCGCAGAGGGGTAGTTGTCCCTATAAGTCAAAGTATCAGATGACCTGCGCAATAATTAAAGACTCAAATGTGCTAATCTGCTCGGCTAAGCTAACGCAGCTAGCTCTGTTAGCCTAGACTCGGTTACCTTCAGAGACGGCGGCCGCGGCCAGGTTGCGGGTCCGCTGTCCGTGGAGGTTCTGTGCGGGCTCTTCCACTTTCTGGTAGCTGAACAGGGGAGCGCTGAACGGGTTGCCCCGAGCCAGCTGCGTCAGAGCGGTGGGGTACATGATGGTGTCCTGTCTGCTGGCCGAGCTGTAATGAGCAACAGGTTAGCTTGGTGCTAAAAGCGAATGAAACCCCGCCCCCGCCGGCTCACGCATGCGTACACACGGGTGACACATCACGTGCAGGCTAGCGCAGTTTATACTCATGTTCTGTCGGAATAATCCGGGGGAAAAAATTATAAATAAAGTTCACATCGTTAAATCCCATCTCACAGTTTAAAGTACTAACGTCATAAAAACGTAATGATTAGTAAACGTTGGCTTAATCACTTGAAAATAAATAGTATTGCAAGGCTCTCTAATATTTGTCAATTTGGTACACTTCTCTTCTTTTAATCTTAAATTGTTGTTAATGTTAATTAAACATTAAAGCTCGAATTATAAGTAAAATACATGTTTAGTTATGTCCTTGTTGCTTTAAAATTGCGAGGTAAAAGATCGCTATCGCACCCCGGTTGGTGGAAAGACTCCCCAACTTTGAAATTCCGAGCATCCAGGGAGCACTAAAATGTAACATTAGTGTGACGTTCAACAGGAAATGGTTCATGTTACCTCACTGAAGATACGTAGCTACCCACGTTTTATAGATATAACTTAATGTTAACACAAATAAACAGTACAACCGCGAATATATTGTAACTAATGAGCTGTCAGCTACATATATATATATGCAGCTAGCATTTACCGTTCTCCCCTTCTAGCTGATGCTAACATGCTATGATGCTAAAATGCTAAGCTAACTTGACCGCTCCAAGGTGGAAGGTCTCCGGTGTGCAGAATAAACGAGCTCACACACCTAAGCGGCTCAGGCACGTCACGGTTGAACACTCAAAAAAACGCATCTTCCACACATGACTCAACGGAATAATTCACATTTTCTATTTTCACTGTAAAAACTTGACTCACTCTGTCAGTGTCGTAAGATGGCGCCTCCGTTTCGCTGCGACCGGCTGCTCAGAGAGGCCGAATGACCTCGCGGTAAATCGACTTGTCCTTTCGTGACGTCACCTCGGCCTGGGCGTGGCTTTACAATCTCTGACCAATGACAACAAGAAACACAGACGCGTCACTAAAGACTTTCTGTCCAATCATAGAATGGGCTGAAGTTTGAAGGCGGTGCTTGTGGTGGTTACTTTGTGAATTCTGGCAGATATAGCGTCAGTTTCACTTCTCAGGTATTTTTATGATTACCCTTGTTCACCTGTGTGTGTGTGTGTGTGTGTGTGTGTGTTTGTGTAAGTGCGTGCGTGTGTGACAGAGATTGACCTCTGATGATAAACCTTTGTTAGAAACACTAAGTGGATTACCTAATAGTTCTTCTATTCCTGTCTTCAGTAATGCCAGTTGAGAGTGAAGCCCCCCCCCCCTCCAGGCAAGATCACAGTGATGTCACTGCACACCTGGTCACACCTGAGGAGTAGATGCATTCTAATGGATTCCGTAGTTAGTCAATAAAAATGACAATGGGGCGCCGTAAGCCTAGTGGTTAGTTCATACGTCCTCCAGTCTGTGGTTTGGGTTAGAATCCGACCTGTGGCTCCTGTCCCGTTCAAGGTCACAGGGGGGAGGTTACACCCTGGACTGTGCGCCAACCTAGCGAGCATGTCTTTGGACTGTGGGAGGAAGTAGAGGTAGCTAGAGGTGACCCATGCACGGGGAAAACATTCAAACTCCACACTCCTCCTGTTATTTATAGTCTCTAGTTTGTAGAAAAAATGTGCACGCTTCTTTGTTTTGCAGAGACATGGAGAGGTATACTTCCCACCAGCAAATGAATCACTACAACTTACCATCCGATTCTTTAAATGCCCTCTCCTATTTGAGCAGCCCTGGTGTGCCAAAAAAAAAAAATAGAGGACTGTCCTTCACCTTTCTATGAATACCTTCAAAAGAGGCCTGCAGGTCACGTCACTGCTTTACATCATTCTTGACCGGAGGAGGAATGTGTTATCACAGGTATGATCTGTATGTATAAAAGCTTCCCATGTGTTCTACTTGTAGTTCATGCACGATTGGTTTTATTTTTGAAACTGCTCGTTTTGCTCGTGCAGAGTAAAGGATGAATCAGTGAAGACGTCACCGAACTCGAGCTCCAACAACCTGGAACGACAGAAGTAACGTAAAGTTTAAGAAATGACTTCACTTACATCATCTTAAGATCTGTTTTCAGCCCACTAGTTTCACATCGCACATTTGTTGTGTCAGTGTGTTAGGAGCCCAAGAGGCCTCGCCCTTGAAGCAGAGACCAGGCTCTAGAGTAGACTGAGCTCCCCCATACATCAGCCAGGTGATCGCGCACTACTACCAACCGACGTCCCCGATACCCAGCCGCCACCATCGGACTGTATCGTCCTCACAACCACCGCTGTCCTCATTCATGCACGGCCTGCTCCGACCTCCAACCCAGCGGCAAGGACGTGTGGACAACAGGAACGCGAGGGATACAAAGGAGAAAGGCTTCCTGCATCTCCCCCTATCCCATTTTTCTCAACAATGAGTAAAGTCTCTCCCTGCTCTTTTGTGAAGCGTCTTTAGAGAACACTTATGAATTGGCGCTACACAGATATTGATTGATTGAATGTCCTTGTAAATCAAACACTCCTGCAGCCACAGTAACAACGTTATAGTTTATTAACTGGATATTCAATATTTGTGACAGTGAATACATAATTAAGTAGAATACACAGAGACTTTCACTTTTATTAGAAGAAGACATTAAGAAAATATCGGTGTAGCACTTTAAGAAGATTTATGAGTGTTCGATTCTTAACATAGTCGAGTGTCTGTCCCTTTAACAGAGACGGTCAAAGCAAAGTACAAAAGGAAACAAGAGGTTCAAACTCCGTCTGCAGCTGTTAATGACTGACAGGGACGGACAGTAAGGCACACACACATTCGATAGAAACACACACCATGCATGTATGGCATAAAAAAATTACCTGCTAAAAAAAAAAAGTGAGTCCTCGTGTTTCTGTGAATGCTACCGTTTGTGTCTGAGGTTTCTGTACGTTCACCATAAAGATCCGAGTGTCACTCCAACAGTTCTGCTGCGACTCTTTGAACACTGATTCACTGATTTTGGAAATGAGGGAGAATAAAAAATAAAAAAACATGGAGGGCAAAGATGTCGGAGGTAATTTCACAGCGCCCGGGAACAGAACGGCTACATGAAGATTCACGCTTAAAGAAAAAATAAAGAATGGAAGCTCCCCTCCTGTTCTCTCTACGCCGCGCTGTCGCTCGCCACATCTGCAGGGGGGGCTTTAATCGGCGGGATGCTGTTGGTCTCCATGGCCTGATAAACCAGGAACAGGAACGTGGCCACAACAGCCAGCAGGAGCACCTTTTTCCACAGGGACATCCTGCTAGGAGCGGCTTTGCTATGACCTGCAGGGGGCGCTGCAGACAGAGGCCTGGAGGAGGAGGAGGAGGATGAGGAGGAGGAGGAGTAAGAAGGGATGGCGGAGGAGTAAGAAGGGATGGCGGAGGAGGAGTAAGAAGGGATGGCGGAGGAGGAGTAAGAAGGGATGGCGGAGGAGGAGTTAGAGAGGGGCAGGCTGGAGACCCTGTGGACGATGTTGCTCTCTGTGTAGAAGGAGGAGGAGCTGCTGGTTTTGGTGGTTTTTGGAGAGAAGATGCTGTTTTCACTGTTCCACAGGTCACTGGACTTCACCGGGCGACCGGCTGCGCCTCTGATTGGTCGTCTGCAGGTGGCGCTGCAAATCAAAAAGCACTTATTGGTTTCCGAGGCAATCCTTTAGGTTACTTTCACACCTGCAGGTAAAATTGAAGTGAAACCAGGAATAAACTTTGGAAACTTACGAGATTCCTGTTGGACTGGCGATGTCGTTGGGGAACAGCTCCTTCAGGACCTCGTCCTCCTCCACCTTCGGGGGCGGCTGCTCGCTGGCTGCAATCTTCTCCACCTAAAAAAATAATAATAACAGAGAGCGCGAATTAAAGTGCAATATTATAAATGCATTTTGTCGGCCAGCTTTAGCACACAACTTTTTGTAACGATTCCCCCCAGTGCTTGACTACAACCACCTGCAGATGTGTGTTTGGACCACCAGAGGGCCCCCTGCCTGAAATCTGACACCTCTCACCACGTGATCACTTCAAACAAAAGGCTGACCACTGCTGAACCACCAGGTGAATGTGACCTTCAGCTGTCTACCTGTCTCACTGACACGTCCCGGGACGGAGTGGACACTGAGCCGAGCGTCCGCACGTCGCCGCAGGACGACAGGAAGCTGGAGATTTTCTGCTGCTTCTGTTTGTGCAGGAGGACGTCTGCAGGGGGGGCTCGCTCCTCCTGATCACAGACAACTTGTGTGAGCAAATATTTAACCTGTCAGCTGTCACATGAATGTGCACAGAGCCTAAACAGCTGCGCACACACAGATACACACACACACACCCCCCTTCACTATGTAGAGTGTGAGGTTAACCTCTCGTGTTCCACCACAGACATCGTACATCAGGGAGAAGCACCGGTGATGACAGAAAAAGAAAGCTCTGAAGGATGTTTGAGTTAAGAAGTACCCCTCTGCTGGGTCTAGATCCAAACTGGTCTGACTGGGACCAGTAGGACTCCCGTTTCTTAATTGGGGAGATGTTACACATGGGGCTGAAGGTGAGCGGGTCCATTCTGGGGATGTGAACCAGAGGAGAGGGAGAGGACGGTCTGGATGGTTTAGCAGCCGCTAGTGGATTCTGCTCTTCATGCACGCTCCTCGACTTTTACAAAACACAGACTGGATGATTATGTAAAGTTAAGGAAGAAGAGAACTGCTGAGAATACTTGAAGTAAAAACATTAATGGCACACACCCTCACTGCTGGTCTCAGAGGTTCAGTACTCGGTTCAGGCTCCTGAGACATAAACACAAAATCAAAGAGAAAGAATCCAGATTTCAGACGGACCCCCCCCCATCTACTCCAAACCCACTTCAGCTGCTTTTTCAGTCGCCCATCATGTGTTCACCTGATGCTCACAGAGTCATTCAGCTTTAAATCAATGCAGCTCTCTTCTGCCACTGTACCCGACCTAAAAAGCCTCTGCATGTTTCTAATAAGCTCCACGAGCAGAAACGTGCTCAAACTAGGATCAATATTGGAGATGTTTTTGAAAAATGGAGAGAGGTTAGAACGCAGAAAGGTTTACAGACCGATGCAGAGCTGACTAAACACTGAAGCTTCAGAGTCCACCACATGGTGACCTGTGTGAGCATGGACTCTAGAGAGGAGGGGGGGAGACAGCGCTCTACATGTTTAGAATTTGGACTGCAGTACCCATTTTAAACACTAGGTGTCAGTTACTTATTGCTCCTTAAAGAGATTCCGATAAAGGCAAGTGACCTCTTACTGTGCACTATACTTTATTTGCTTAATAAAAGTTTATAATCTCTAATCTCTTACTTGAATGCAGGTTGTTTTGTAGCTGAGGGATACCTGAATGTTTGTGCACTTGAAGACGAAGCATTTCTCATTTCGTCGTACAGTTCTAACAATAAAGACTTTCTATTTCTGTTTCTGTAAAGCTGGCCTCCTTCCAAAGTTATTACACTAAACCTCACAGAACATAAAAAGAGAGAGAGCTGCAACCCGGTAATCCTCTTAATCAGGTCTGTGTGTGGGCGCTGGAAAACGATCCGACCGATTTGATGACCCTGCAGTTTGAGGGTTCAAGTTTTAGTTCTTCAGATTAAGGATCAGAATCTGCGAAATGTGACCCTGAACACATCATGAGCGACATCAACAGAAGACTGAAACGAGCTCGCTGCAGAATCAGAAACAAAAACATAAAATCTAACAATGAATCTGAGAAATAACGACCAGACATCCACACACCTTCATCCCCACTGTGCAGACCGGCTGAGAGAGGCGTTTATCAAACACACAGTTATGGTGACTCTGGCTGCACATTTCACCCTGATGTCACCACTGTGCACATCATAAATGTGACTTTTATGTTAAACAGCCAAAAAAAGCCAACCTCCAGAAGCGCCGTGTCGAGCAGAACGACCGGTTTGCGAGCAGAATCCTTACTCGGTTTGGACGGACGTTCTTCCTCCTGGAGTTTCAAACAAAAGGTGAGCGAGCAGAAACTCCTGCACATTTTAATAGATTCCCAAAATGAATTAAGAGTGTCTAGGAGTGCTAATTTGTTGCAGTGGAGATGATTTATTGCTCAAGTCTAAAGTTTGTAATTGTTTTAACCAACAAAGACAGAAGGCAAACTTCTGCACACTGTCTAATTTTAAGCTTTGGTTCTTTTCATGACTTGTGATCTTTTAAATAACAGGTTGTATCGTTTGAAACATGTGGTGTTACAGTATCCAGCGTTTTGACAACCTTAGTGGGCGGAGCCACCTTCTCAGGCCTGTGCGAGACGGCGGGAGGTTCAGCTCGAGCTGGAGTGTCCAGTCTTTGAGAAACCCTCCTTTTAGCCTGCAGCTGGACCTGCTCTGTCAGAGCCGGCCTGAGATCCTCAGGCACTATCTGCTGGGACAAAACAAACACAGCAGGCCTTGAGGAGACCTTTCAGAGAGGAGGGGAAGTGATACGCGAGAGGAAGAGCGAGGAAAAGGAAGTGTGCAAAGAGGATGACAGAAAAGAGGAGGCTGGAGGATTTCTGCTCTCTGACATCTGAGAGGTTTAAAAGACGGGCTTGTTCCCGACTGAAGTCTACTCTGAACTGATTATTCTGTAGTGCGAGTCATATAAAGATCCAATCTTAACACCCCCGATCTGCTTGGAGAACATATCTGATAATTGTGATTTAAAATCTTGCTGATTACGCCGCGAGAGGATCTGGAGGAAGTTGTCGCGTGTGACTACTATTACTGCGAGAGACGATAGTAATAAGGGGTCAGTAGTGGCGACCTGAGGTAAGATGCAACCTGTGCGCTGGACACCTGTAAAACATCTGACACTTAAAATGCAGCTCTCACTGAAGAACAGACAACCCAAGCTGTCCTCGTCTCTCCAGACATTTCTTCACTCAAACCGTTTAATTTCCTCTCTGCACAAATAAGCATAATCGCAAGTTCAACCTCCCCTTGCGTTGTTGTTTATGTGAGGTGAGGTGGTGAATTCCTCAGCCGGGCACGATGATCTTTGTAAAAATCCTGCAGTGTGTGATGTGCCATGATCGTCATCTCGTAATGTGAGCATGCTGAGATTATAGAGAAGATTCTCCTCGTGTGTGGATTTTAAAACTCCTGCAGTCTGAGTCAGGCTTGACAGTTTTTGCTTTGGAAGTTTCTGATCTGGTTTGTTTGTGTGTGTTATAAATATTGTGTTTGGTGAGAAGTTTGAAAACAAAAAAAGTTACACAAAGAAACAAGGGAGCAGTAGAGCAGAAACTCCTCTGAGCCGTGGGGTGAAATCACGGTTTCTATCGGTATGGAGTGATGTCTAAACCCTGCAGAACATATTACTCCTTTAGACCCCATGTCTGGTGAAGGTGTAGAACAGAATGTGCTAAGTCTGAGCACTTGAAGCCAGGTGTGCAACAGGTGAACAGGTACAGAGAGTGGAGCCACCGCTGAGTTGGTGTGAAGACAACATGAGGATGAGAGGTACCGTTCTCTGAGAAAACCTCCTGGATCTGCGCTTCACCCGCAGGACAGATTCTTCCTCCTCCTCCTCATCCATCAGCACCACCTGGTCTCTCTGCACACACGGTGCACACAGCAGCAGACAAATTGTGGGATAGATTTATCTACATTTGTGTCTGATTTACCTTCAGTCTGACACGCTGCAGAGCGTCAGAACTGGAGGAGACTCTACGGTACGGATTGCGTGGTGTGAGTGCACCCTAAGAAGGTGATCCAACTCTTGCTGGAAGAGTCAAAGCTGCACAAATATCCACAGCAGAGCTCACATGACATCATACGTTTTAACTTTCACTTAATATGATGACATCATGGAAAACGTCTTCCAAGTCACCTCATCCACCTTAAACACCACTGACACACATACATAAACACACACACACACACACACACACCTCAAGCCCCTCACACACATCACATCGTAGCTGGCAACACACCAGTTTTTTATGAAGTTATTCCCAAGGCTCCACAGGTGAATGTTGAGTGTGACCAGCAGGCGGAGCCGTTCACTATCACATGCAGAGAGGAGCAGCACATTATCACATGTGGGGGATGACTTCATGCTGATTCTCCCAAAAGAGCAAACAGAGGAATTTAAAGCCTCAGAATATTTAACAGAATATCAGCGAGGGAGTGTGGAGGTTGTTATGATCACAGACACAAACGTTTGGAAACGTGTGAAGAAGAAGAACGATTGTTTGGCAAACAGACATGAGGTGTGTGAAGCAGCTAATCCACATCATGTGCTTTGAGTCTGACGTGCAGCGATCAGCTCGGATTCCTCTGAACCCTGCACGCTCACGCTGAGCTGAGCTGAGCTGGTGGGACTGAAATCCAGGAAAATGAAAAACTGCTTCCTGTGCCAGCGTCGCAGGAAACTCAGTAATCAAGAACAGCTGCTGGGGAGTCCCATCCTACCTGGTGCTGCAGGACACACTGCAGACAGACTGCGGGAAGAACTGCTGCGAATACACACAGAGGAGGGACTTGGCTTTCTCTCGACGTTAATCTAAAGCATCTGCGGCTAGAAAGGCGACAAAAACTTTCCTGGAATGTGTGAATGAAGAGTAAATTAAGGGGAGAGGGACCAGATGTGTGCTGCTGCTGCTTTAAACACTTCCTGATCAGGAAGGCTGATGTTTCTCTTTTAAAAATTGAGCATAGAAAAAAAGCTTTATACGTCCACCTTGAGTTAGTCCTGGATTCTTCAGTGTAGCTTTTTTATGTGAAACTTGTAATCGTCTAGTTAATTTTCAGTAAAGAATAAAGTAATACACCCATCCTGCATGAGCAAGGGAAATGTTTCCTTTGAAATGTGCAGCTCGAGTACTTCCTATTCTTCCTCCTCTGTTTTTCACGGAGAGCAACGAGGCATGAGAAACCCTCTTTGCATGTCAACAGTAAACTAAACTTAGTGCAGTTTAGATTCAGCTGGGCTGGAGGAAGTCGGTTTAAGAGCGTTATATATAGTATTTAAAATAAGGGAAACATCAGGACATTGTGTACGATGAAAAATAGGCGAGTTTAGAGAAATCAGGGCGATGGTCCTCTCTTACTGAGAAGCTCCACAGCTGTAGTTTCATTCAGTCTGAAAGGAAAGAAATCAAACACTGCTGCCTTTTGATGTTCATATTTACGTCGACTTATCGACCTTCCTGTCTGCAGAGGAAGTGGAAATGTGCGGCTTTGTTTGTCTGCTGCTCCTGATCACCTTCAGCTGACCCGTTAAATCATCATTACATTTCCTCCTTTCATTTTAGTCTTAAGCCGTTTTCACGTCTGCACTCCTGAAAATATCGAGATAATATCACGAGGATATTCTCCTGACCTGGTTGTTCACGCATGCACCTCAGAGCGGGAGACTATCCCTATCAGACAGGACGGGGGGCGGGGTCTCCTGAGGGAAGACGGGGCGTAAAAACTAAGCAGCAGAGTCCGCTACACGACGCTATAATGAGAATATGTGTCTTTCTATCAATGCTAAGAGTAGTTGAACAGAATCTCATGTGAACTAAAGAGTGGAGAAGAACATTCTGGAGAACAGGAAACATGCAGCAGCAGGTTCATTAGGAGATGGTAGAGGTGGCGTGCAGACAGTCTATGGTCGTGCAGCGATCACAGGGAATAAACGTCACCACCCCCTCCCACTCGCTCCAGGTGAATTCTCCTGATTACATCCTGCTGCGTTCTGTATGCACGTGCTGTTTTAGGCTACAAAAGGTCTCCTCAGGTCACATTTACATGCAAACGATCCCACTAATAACAACACAAACAACGCAGCAGAAATTAACACTGCTGCTCTCTGAGGGTTTCAAACGGACTCCACCTGCTTTACATATCTGCTGCAGCCTTTCACACAGCCAGGTCAAGGACCAGAGCAAACCTCCACCTCGTGCTTACATGTATACCTCTGCAGATATTCACATTTAAAGCAACAACATGCAGAAAACAATTTGCATCCTTCTTGCATCCAAGAACTTCTGGGTGACAGTGTGAGAGTATTTAGCTTTGGCATGAAGCTGCACTTAAAGAAAAGTATAAACTAAACACGGGGAAGGGAACGGTAAGAAAGTTTTTCTGCTATGTCATTCACAGTCGATCTTCAAAATGATTCACTAAAGTCTGCAGGAAGCTCAGGAGGGAAACACTTCAATCTGCTTTCAAACCTGTAATTTCACCAGGAAAATAAAGCTCCCCTCTCATTCAGGTTTACAGCCAGCAAAGCTCTGAAATCAGACGCTGGAAACATCCAAACCCCCCTTCCAGTATCCCTAACCTTGATGCCATCTTCCATCAACCACTCTCCTTCGAAACATCGTCCGTCTTCCTCCATCCCTCGCCCTCTCAGATGAGACCCTCACCCACGCATTCATCACATCATCCAGACTGGACAACTCACTCCCAAAACCATCAGAGACCCCTCCCCTCCCCTCCCCTCCCCCTCCCCTCCCCTCCCCTAAAAAGTCACCTCTGTAAGAGAGAAGTCAGGAACATTTCAATTAATTAGTTTCCATTAAAATAAAACGGTCCACAGAAAGCGCAGGAAGACTCGTAATAAAAGGTGGAATGTGTTTCTCACCACGTGGCGTTTGCTGCTGGAGGTGCGGGTTGTGATGGGCGTCTTCCCTCGGCTCCTCAGCGGTCGCTCCACCACTGGAACTGGTTCAGGTTCAGGTTCAGGTTCAGGTTCAGGCTCAGGTATCACTTCTGAAAGATCAAAATAAAATGTAAGATTACTTCGGTTTCTAACCCTCAGAGTAGCTCCCGTTGCAGAGAAGAACTCTCCAACCCGATGTGTTGAAGAGCGACTGTTTCATCTACACATATTAACACACACACATATCCTCTGTATGAAAGGCATAGACGAGTTCTTCTTACCGTCCTCCTTGTCGCTGTACATGTCAGACTCAGAGTTGCCGTTGTGGTTGACTTGGATCTCTGTGACGACCAGCTGAGTCAGCTGAGCAGGGCCGCCGTCCAGAAGTTTCTGCAGCTTCCTCTCGTACAGTTTGCGGGTAGACGCTGAGAAGAAGAGCGGAGGAGAAATGGTCGATTAAAGAATGCAAAAAAATAAAAATGACACAGAGCAGTCCTGCGTTTATCTGCCTGAGATATGAGCAATGTTAATTGTTGGTAAACACAGACTCTCCTGTAGAGTTTTAAAGGTTTAAGTTTCATATTAGCAATATTTAAAGGAGTAACATGTAACTCTGACACCTAGTGTTTAAGATGAGTACTGCAGTCCAAATTCTAAACATTGGAGAGAGAGCTGTCTCGCCCGATTCTTTAAAGCAAACAAACATTTGGAGCGTAGCTTTTCTTCCATGGAAATCATATTTTATGTTCGTAATAAACCCCCGACTGTAAATCAGGTTAATGTTTTATTAGATTCATTTTATGTGCAGAGAATTGGACATCACAGAGGACAAACCGGTCAGCGATCACAGCTGTTTGATTTCTCTGCTTTTTCTCTGCTTCAAACACCTCACTTCTGTATCGTCTTGGAGGTTTGTAAAAAAAAAAAAACAATAACTATCCCAAACACTAAGGAAAGCTGCAACGATAAGTCCCTGAATAAACAAAGTTGATTGAAAGAGGATTGGTTGCTGTTTCGGGAAACTTATTTGATGCATTTGAAACCAAAAACTGCTCGTCAAACATGAGGATGTGCTGCTTTTCTTCATCATAACCGATAATGATTCAGGACTCTTTGGGGGGTTTTGACTTTTGGAACAGCAAGACTTGAATTTAAACTAAAAATCAGTTAATCAGATATTACATCCCACAATGCATTTCAGTCAGCTGTCAAATACAAGAAGCGCAAAGAGGAGAGGTTCTTCTGTTTTAGAGAGTCTGATAACGACACCTCGAGTGTATGATTCAAAGGTTAGAGAGTGAAAAGGAGAGAGGCAGAGTTTAAGACGATGACACAGTTTTCAGTCCGGCTGTGAGCACGGGTCACTCTCTCATGGGAACAGCTGATGTGCTCCTCTTCTTCGTGCTGTCTTAAGCTCTTGATGTTAGCATTAGCAGCTACATGTTTAGCAGTTTTTGAAAAGTCAGACTTGATGATCGGGAGTCATTCTTGTATTTGAGTCACGTTTTGCATCCACAGCTGTGTCATTATCGCAGCGAGAGTAAATGCTGCAGGTCTGTGTGTGTGTGTGTGTGTGTGTGTGATCAATGCAGCTGCTCAGACACAATGGTGTACAGAAGGCAAAGCGCACACTCATGTACACACAAACGTGCACACAGGCTTTCACACGTCTGACAGCTGCGATGGTATGAGTGGAACACAGAGAGGTGGAAGCTCTCAGCGACTCGACCTTTATGCTCATTTTAAATATTATTTGACAAACATTTTAAACATCATGTCACTTTGACACGTGTCTTAGACTTTGGCTTCATTCCGTATGCAGAAACCGGATTCTGAGTCTGCACAGGACGTTCTAATATTTTAATGACTCCAGATTGAATGATGATTCAATCTGAATGATTGAAAAAAAACACATTGTTTAAAAAAACACAACCTGTTCCTTTCTAAATGCCAGCATCAAGTGTTCCCAATGAAGAGAGAGCGTTTGCAGCAGCAGGCGGTAGCACGGGGAAAAGGTGCAGCGCCCTGCATCCTTTTTCTGAGCACTGAGTCTTTTTAGTTCTGCAGCTCTGAGCGCCTCTAGTTGAAAATCTGGTGACATCACTGCCTGCTCTTTTCCAAATATAAGTTATTCCTCATATTTTTGTCTCCTATGGATCGTGTCATGTTCCCCCATATCAGCAGGAGGAGAAAAGAGACCAGCGGCTAGGAGAGAGGTTTTGTGAAACGCCATAAACGTGCTGCGAAAGATATGAAGCCATATACGTCCACCTCACATCAATGATTAACACTTTCTGACGCTCGAGTTGAAAAGCGGAGAGCAGAAATCAGGAGGCGGGGAATGCTTCTGTGTCACGTCTGGAAACACAAATCTGATCCGCTCTGGTTCGAATAGCGAGCCGTCAGTCTGCCGTAAAGGTTTAAAGAAACGGATCTGATTTGTCTGCAGAGCGAACAAAGCCTAATTGAGCGACACATTCCAGAAAAGTCTCTCACACAGCGGCTCAAACCGCTCGCCGACATGTCAGAGCCTTGTGTGAATTCCAGCACCTTCGTGGAGCGTGTAGCACCAACACACCACGTCCCTCAGCGTGCGTGCGTCCGTGCGACCTCACATATGACCCCGCTGAAAACACGAAAACACTCACCGACGATGGGCCCGGCGTCAACCCCGTGCTTCAGCAGCTCGTCCTTCAGACTATCGTCAGTCAGCTCGGTCACATCCAGATCTTCAGACCGAACTTTGTCCGTCTTCCTCGTTGCTTTCTGCAAAACAACAGAAAGAACCCGGTTAATAACGATGAACTGTTCAATACATCAAAAATTGACTAGTCAGGGTCAGGGTGGATTTATTTCAGTCCTGAGGAAATGTAATCAGCAGTAATGACATTAAAGAGTCAGCTGATAAGCGGATTTGTTGGTAGGAGTGAGCTGCTCTTGCACTTCATGTCGGGTTTAACAAAATAAAAGACGTGGACATGTTTTTTTTCTCATACTATAAAAGCCTAATGAAAGATTTCTTGACATCTTTTTGGTACTCTTTCCTTCCTGGGTTAGGGTTATCCTGTAATATTTAGTTAAATAAAGTCCATTAAACCAGCTCTTTTAAAAGGTCCAATCAGTAAGATGTGTAGTGAGTGAAATGATAAAGTGACCTTACTATATGATCAGACATTAAGGAAACATGCTATGTTGAAGTGCTGGCTTCTCTGACAACAATGCAGCAGCCAGTATGTCTTCCTTCTAACTTTAGATTCTGCTCCTGAATGCTTTGGATTTGTTTGGACCAGAGAAGGTAGACGGTTTTAAGGTGACCCCCACACGACCGTTTTGGAAACCCCTCGGTTTGTCAGATATGAGAGCAGTTATCAGGTCAAACCAAGAGGTGTTGCAGCGATGGAAGCGGGCAAGAGAAGTGGTTCAGATAGAAGTGATTGTACCCGACCTAAAAAGCCTCTGCATGTTTCTAATAAGCTCCACGAGCAGAAACGTGCTCAAACTAGGATCAATATTGGAGATGCTTTTAAAAAATGGAGAGAGGTTAGAACACAGAAAGGTTTACAGACCCATGCAGAGCTGACTAAACACTGAAGCTTCAGTGTCCACCACATGGTGACCTAGGTGAGTGTCGACTCTAGAGAGAGGAGGCGGGGGGAGAGACAGCTCTCTACAATGTTTAGAATTAGGACTGCAGTACCCATTTTAAACACTAGGTGCCAGAGTTACATATTCCTCCTAATGTGCAATAAATTGACTGTTTACACAGCCTGTTGTTGTTGTTTTTTGCACTAAGCGACCTTGCTCATCCCTTTTCAAACTGTGCAGCTCTTCCATTAGAGGAATGTTAAAATTTGAATAACATTGTTTTATATTCTATTGTTTGTTTATTTTTTTCTTAATGAGGTGTCTTGTCAGTTGGAGACTTCTGGTTTCTGGCCTTCCCTCATTAATTATTTCATTTCTGTGTTAATTGATTTGCACCAAAACATCAGGACACACTGACCCGATTCTGAGTCTGACTTGTGCACACAAAGCGGTTCTTAAAGAGCCGAGAACAATGATCAGATCGCTGAGAAGAGTCTGAATCGTCGTCACAACACAGCAGCTGCTCAGTTCAGATGTTGAAGTCCCACCGTGCCCACAGGCTCACCTTAAACCTCACCCTGTGAACTTTTACCATTAACATGTTAATGTAAATCTCTCTGAAAAAAAATGTTCTGCTTGTTGAGCTTTCAGACAGTTTAAAAGAAACCTGTTCCCCAGGTTTCTGCTTTACACCTCCTTCCTTTGAATGAACTTCACTGCCTGTTTGAAAAATGTGAGAAAAGTTCACAAGTAGATTCCAGGAGCTTCAATTCACACATGATCGATCCGCAGGAATGAGGAGACACATGCTAAACGTCCACTCACTCATACAAAAAAAGATTTTGGGGAACAAGCTTTAACTTGACCAGTTTCCTTCAATTTCCTACAACTAAGTGAAACCAGGGAGAGGAATGAGGGAGGGAAAAAAAAGCGGGACGCTCTGAGCAGATGTTGCCTTCAGGCGCTCCGTGATAGTAAACAAAGTTCAGGGCTGAAGCTCACCAGTCGACAGGAAATTACAGCGTGTTTGGAGCCAGCTGCCGCCGAAATGAATCCCTGTGTCTCTGAGCAAATGAAGTACGCATGCAGACAATGTTTGCAAAAACAAAAGTGAGCACGCGTTCATTGTGCTGCAGGATGGAAGCAGTCACTCCAAGGACTGTCTGCGTTTCATGTTGGAAACATATCGTCAAAAAATGAGGATGCAAACGACTGCTTGGACCCAGAGGTGATTCTGGACTTTATCTAGAGTCAGCTCAGGTGAATGTGTGCAGAGGTGCACGTTCAGGTCTCTACAGTCCATGAGGTCAGACACATGGACCCTAAAGAGAACGTCTGTTTCAAGGTGAGATATTTACGCCCTGTGACGTCTCTCCTCCAATGTGAATGTCACTGAGGCATAATGGGGTGCCTGCTCTGTACCACCATCATAGGAACCAGCGGGGGAAAGACAGCGCTGTGTGTGCATGTTTCTCTACATGTTGTGCTTTCTCAACGCCACAACACAATCTCACTATGAAAAGGGCTTAAATTACCTGTTTTGATACCACTACACACACACACACACACACACACACACACACACACACACACACACACACACACACACACACACACACACACACACACACACCACACACACACACACACACACACACACACACACACACAACACACACACACACACACACACACACACACAACACACACACACACACACAACACACACACACACACACACACACACACACACACACACACACACCACACACCACACACACACACACACACACACACACACACACACACACACACACACACACACACACACTTTTGATAATTTCTTGCTTATGATCCCCAAAAACTGCAGCAAACTCCTGCACACTTTGTCCACATTTGTTGCCAATGTATTTGTGCAATTTAGAAAGTTTTCTCTCTTTCTCTTGCAGAGTACCCTAGTAGCCTCTAAAATCAAAAATAGTCCTCAACACTAGAGAAAGGCAGCGAGTATGCAAACAGAAAAGGTGAAACCTCACTACATACGGCAGCTGTCTGTTTTGAGAGCAGCAGCGACCCTCGGCTGAAGGACTCCGCTGAGCAGAGGAGGAGGAAGTTTAAAGAAATGCAGAAGAAAAACAGTTTAATCAACAACACTATGTTATCAAAGATACTTTGAATAAACTCTGTGTTTGGAGTTTCTGCACCAGAAATCGGAGGAATGCAAAGATGACATGCTAAAACTTCAGCGGTGAAGTACTTCCACGGTTCACAGCGTGTAATAACTGAGACACACACACAGTTTGTGTTACTCTGCGTCTGGCTCTCTGTGGGCCCTCGGCGGGGTTCGTTCTGGAGGAGAGCCAGAGACTGTTTCATAATGAGCAGGAGAGAGCGGGAGAAGAGGAGGAGGGGACCATGCAGACCACACCCTGGACTTTAAAGGCATAACTGCGGCCTGAGCTCACAGCCGGAGCTCGCTCGCTGGAGTAAAAACACTACCAACAGCGTCAGACTTTCCTCTCTGCAGGCTGCATGGAGGGGCTGCAGGGTGAGACATACCAGAGCCTGTGGCTCCATGATGTAACCCGCTGCATGGCTCAGTAACAATGGAGTGTGTGTGGTTAGCCGCGTGTTTACTGAATTTAACCACAACTGACACACATTGCTCGAACTTCACAGCTAATTCTCCCAAATCTCATTAAAACAGAAGACAAACTTAAAGCATGACAGAGGTGAAGAATGTGACTCTCTCAGGCTCTCTTTGAAAAGCCTCTTTGGCTCCAGAGAAGCATCTCAAAAATGTCAGGAATGAATTTTTCTGCGACGTCCCCCTCTTCGCCCCCAACTGCACACCGTACCTGCAGCCTGTAATCACACGTGATCATCGGGTTTCAAGAGATAAACAACCTGAACGCTGATAAACCGCAGAAAGACAAAGGACAGACTAATTACACACGAGCCCCGTCTTTCCACAACCTCCACTCTTTACTACGCACACACACACGTGGGAGCACACACATTCCTTTCGCTGTGAAAAGTATTTCCTCAATGAAAAGACCAAACCCAAAAAGATAACAGACCTTTAAGCTGCAGTCGGAACATTTCATACAAAAACGCACTCCATAGGACTCGATGACAAACTAGAGCTAAACGTAGATGTCTTGGTTTTGTCTCGGTGCCGCCCTGCCTTGGTCTTGCTCTTGACTCGGTCTTGATCCCTAAACGTTTTGGTCTTGTCTCGTTCTTGGAGCACTCTGGACTCGGGTATGAGGTCTTGGTTTGATTCTGAATCTCTGGGGTTGTGGGGCAGGAGCGGACTTTTGGAGACTATGATGTGGGGCCTTTCTCAAAGTGGACTGACACTCGGGAGCGGGCTGATCTCAGTTTGAAGTCTCACTCGCAGTTTGGGTGAAACTCCTTCATTGAGGTGTTTATAGAGCCAAACAGAAACTTTTTGTTACCATGGTAACATGTCACACAACTTCTAGTAGTCTGCATAAATTACAGCGGGTCAGACTCATTATAGAAGCATTCACATTAAGAGAAATAAAATAAATGTCCACCGTAGCTATCTTGGAGGCATTTCTTAACTGATCAGTATTTGCGGCCATCCCCGTTAAAGTCTGCATGACATCCGCGGCGTGGAGTCGACCAGCTGGTGGAGGGTTTTAAAACCTACTGCTACTCGATGCACGCTGAAGCACTAACTGAATTTGCACGCAGACGACTTTTCTAGGGTTGTCTGAGAAAGAGCACGACATGACCTTCACGCCCCCTATCACATGACACTTTGAAAGAAGAAAACAAACGCCATCATTGACTCAAAAGCCGAAAGCTGTGTGTACATTAAAGGTCGCATGTTTTCAGGCGTGTCCCGATCATTTTGGCTGGTAAATGCAAACAGACAAATGTGCAGTTTGTCTGGCCGTGTTTAGTAGTGTTCGTCTACTAAACTGATCATGAGACAAGAAGCATCGTGATCCCGTTAACTTGCTGCCCCTGCTCACCTATTCTCCTTGGGAAACCCTGTAGTGAGCACACAGATGGGTCTGTTTAAAAGTGTAGTGGTGAAAAATGTGACGTTTTCCTTCTCTCTTTGAAGCTGTCTCAAGCCGACGCCGTCCACAGACCTCCTACAAACAAGAGCCTTTCAAGATCCCAGCACGGGGGGGGGGAACTAACCTTTGGCCTTCTTTTACAAGAGCGTAGTTCTTTTATGTGTCGCTTTTTCTGCAGGAGACAATTTCTGAATGAACACACACTCTCTCTGTAACGAATGAATTGCAGTTTTAGGGTAGAACAAACATCCATGCAAAGTATGTCTCTCTGAATTGGCTCTGCCTGTGAGTCCACGCGCTGGGATTAGGAAACGCCTGCCCATTAGTCAATATCCAATCACTATGTCCTAAAGTTGGTGGAAGAGGACATCCCTGGTGTCAGATTACACAAATCACTTTCACATGATGAGTTTAGAGGAAGAAAAAAAACATGACAGCGAGATTTCTTAATTTCAAACAGAAAAAGATTCACACGAGAGGTTTGAAACACCGGACTGTGCAGGAGCGTTTCTGCCTTTTTTCCGGGCATTAAAAGAACATACAATGATTCTTGAACGCCCCTCCCCCAGGTTTAAAAACATACAGCTTTAAACCGTCTGTCAGGTGACCGTTCTGCTGAACCTCTGATTGAAATGTACGACCACAATAGAGCATTCATAAGAGTCGTGTTTGTGCTGGAAGAATGAAGCATAACACCTGCACACAAAGCGAGCACACTAACATCCTCTGACTCCTCCCACATGTTTGGTTTGTCATTTTTCACTCACTGCCTTTGTTTTTACTCAAACCCTTCATTCAGTCCGAGTACAAACCGCCTCTAACCACTCACCCCGCCCCACCCCCAGAACAAGTCCAGACCCGACACGACCTGCTGCACACCTGTCGGAGCTCAGGTACAGATCCAGATTTTCTCCACTCCGTCTCTGATCTCTGAAGCAGAATCAACACATGTGATCGGAGCAGGGCCGTCCAGATACCAGAGAATTAACATAGATGTGATATCAAGGCATGTTTGTTACCACAGCAACAATAACAAGTCTTACGTGCAAACACTGGGTAATTACTTGTTTTTAATTGTGAGAACATGCAGACAAACCGATAACCCTGCACGGTGTCTAAACTGCACAAAAACTCTCCTACGCACCCGTCTCAGGAAATTGATATGCATTATTAAACGTTTTAGTACTTCTTAGTACTGATCACCTAATAACAGTGACTGCACCACACGTGTCAAAATGCATCAACGTCTTTGAAAACTTGCTGGGCTGCAGACGCACAGCATGCTTAAAACAACTAATGAGACCTGGTGGATCGACGCCATCAATACTCTAAAATCTTTGTTGTGTTGTCGTTTGTTAAGCTCGGTCTAGGGCCGTAGGGTCCTCGGGGTGGGAGGGGGTGCTGGGTGTGGGACATACGTTGTCATTATTTTGTGTGCTGTGGTAATTCTACAATTCACTTCGTAATCAAGGGGAGGGCGCCAGTTTAACCTTTGTTTGTCCGTGATTAATAAGGGATTCTGAATGCACACGACCCCCCCCCCCCCTCTCTCTCTCGCTGATCAACAACACAGCTGACAACGATTTTATCAGAGATCTTATTGACTGATTGTTGAAGCTCTACTTTACAGCGTCCGTGTACATCAGAGCGCATGCATAGAGCTTCACTGATTGACTGGATACCGCTGATATAGACTGCAGGATTAAGAAATCCCTCTGACCTGCTCCTGTTTGACAGTTCTCAGGTATGCAGGCGGTAGCTGTTTCTTTTTGGCGGTCGGAGTTGACTGACAACAAACAAACACACCTATCAGCGTTTCCATCTGCTCTGTGGCGGTTTCGACACCTGGGCGTGAAACAGCAGGTAAGACAGGGACTCTGTTTGTCCACTCGCGACTCCGACTCAATGCGACTCCGTCTGATTGAACTAACACGTCAAAAGAGTGAATGATTAACATGACGACGAGGAAAAACCACACCCTGCAGATAACAGCCACCGATAACAGCAACCTGTTGGTATCACAGCACAAGTTTAAAAGTAGTTTTTGTTGCTACGACAACATTAAAAACACTCGTCAAGCATGTTGGAGATGATGCAAAGAGGGGCAATCTATGATGGGGGGGAGGGGGGGGGAGTGAAAGCGGAACAATGCACCACATTAATTCATGAGGCTTTTGGTTGAAGATGGATGTCCAAACTGAAGTCTACATACTGCTAAGGGTCTTCAGAGAGGGAAAGGGTCCCAAAGAAAAGGAGAAGAAAATGTAACTAGCAGGAAGAGGGGTGCAGGTTTGGGTGTGGACTCTGTGGGTGAAGGGACTGTCCAGAAGTTTTAGACAATTAATTTACAGGTTAGTTGAGATTTAGTGCAAGACTTTTCTAAAGTTTAAAACATTTGAATGACTACTTTAGAGACTTCTCGTTCATAAATGACTGGTCAACAAATTGTTTGGCACAGCGATGAAAGAAAAACAAATCTGGCTTTCCAAAGAAAGACAGATTTTTAAAAAGTTGCACAATGTGATCCCGAGATTTCCCCACTCATTCATTGGACGAATACAAACATGCGATGTGTTATTTTAACGACAAAAACCTTGCATTTTTATTAGTATTTAGCTCCATTAAAGTGCCGTATCATACAAAATGTCATGCTCCAAAGTAAACAAAGTCACTACTTTTGCAGTTAAGTTATTAAACATTTCAGAAATCCAGACACAAATAAGCAAACTCACCCTTCCGGAGGACCGACTCCTGCTGGTGATCACGACCGGCGGGAGCTCCTCGTCGCTGGAGAAGGCGTCCAGGGTCGCGGGGGTGTCATGGTGGTTCTTCTGCGCGGTCAGGTTCTTCAGATACAGCTGGACAAACACGTCTTTGGTCGGGTTCCCGCTCGGCAGCTCCACGTTGTGGGCCAGCAGCTCGCTCTTCAGCTTGTCCTTGGTGAGCACGGACGGGTCGTCCAGGTACTCCGGCATGTCTGCGTGTCAGTGACGGGGGGAAGAGGGACCGACGGCTGGGGTGAAGTTAGCGAGCTAACACGCGAGAGAGAGAGAGAGAGAGAGAGAGAGAGAGAGAGAGAGAGAGAGAGAGAGAGCGGCTAAGCAGCGCCTCTCACCGGAGCAAATTGGAAAAACAAACAAAGCGAAAGCGCCAAACTCGTGTTTTAAATAGCAAAAAAAACAAGACGCAACAAATAACTCAAACTAAATTACTTTATATTGTTGCTCTCGGTTCCTCCTGAACGCAGGAATAATGCAGAACTGAAAGCGGTCCTCTCTGCGCCAGCCTGCCGCTCCTCACGGGATGACCCGAACCGGAAGTGACTGCATATAGAGTCGGGCTCCTATTGGTCAGGCGCTGTAAGCAGGAGCTACCTGATTGGCTGAGCTTATAATGCAACTATTGAAAATCAAATCAGGCTGTGACGCTGACAGGAAGTTGTTGAAAAAACTGCTTTTATTTACTTGTTTCATTTATTATTTAACTATAGCCCAAACACATCTGTTTAAATTATTATTCCCCTCCATATGTATCCATCTTTCATTTTATTTTGTATGTATTATTTTATTTCTCTTATTTATATTTTCCTGCATGTACTTTAAATATACTGTTATATTATTTAAATGCCTCTTTGACCTGATTTAAATCAGCTACTGTCTATGTACCTGAAGTATTTGTACATTATTGTTCTTTGAATAAAATGATTGTGGGGGAAAAATCCTATTTTATACATTTAAAAATGTAAAATTATAATCATCTTGTTCCCACAACTTATGTTTGCACAAGTTAATATCTTGTGAAGATGCACGCTGATGGGTTTTGATGCTGCTAGAAGATAAGAAAATGAAGGAACTCTTTTTTTGGTGACGTGTCGGACGTTGGACAAAGAAAGTTGTTTTAGGAAAAGTCTTCTGTTGTAATGTTAGATTCTCAAATGACATATCATTCACAATAAGTCTTTATTTGAACTAAACATCAAATCCACATAAGACAAATATAGGTCATTACCTTTCTTCCTTTATATTTATACTTACTTTCATCGTCCAATATTAGTGTTTCCAGTGACTATCAGTATCAGCTAATTTTATCTTAGATATGCACCGATATTATTCGATTTATCCACCAGTCAAATATAATTTCATGAGTTTCATTGCATTACAATATCAGTTCTGTCACCAGCAGAGGGCGCTATATGGATTATAAAAAGCATCATCACTCTGCAGTGTCGAGCGGTGATGCAGGTACGTTCAGTTACTTTCCAGCTGAGTGACCATCTTCTCCATTTGCGGTATCGGCCAAAAAATCCGTATCGGTCGGGCCCTAGTTCTTATATGTACCAACACACAAAAGCTCAGTGTACCTGTGAAAAAGTTAATAAACGATCTCTTCTCTTCTTTCCTGTTTTCTAGCTTTAGTTCAACAAACATGTCGATGCTGTAATTATAACCCTTTGGAATACTGGAGCATTTCTGACTGAAACCTGCGCTTTGATTTAGTCTTTGCTTTTATTATTTGTCTTTTTATCATTTTTCAGTCTTGTTGTTTAATGCAAACATCTTTCATAAAGTGCAGAAATAAAATGTCTGCTGCTTTAAATTCAGAGGGGAAATCTTGCTTCAGCACGGTACAAGACAACTGGGCCACGTGTCAGCGCGCCCTTACAGATCATATTACTGAGGCTAGAAAGAGTAAAAAAATATATATATTTGCCAGCATGTCAGTGTCCCCCAGGTGGGAAACCCCAGTTAAAAAAAGTCGGAACAAACTGCTGTGTGCGAGCAATAACTTTTATAAAGAGAGACAACAACAAGAGTGCCTGTTCATGGTTGTTTTTTGGCCCCTTCATACACTCTGAGTGAGTGTGTGAGACTTGTTGATGCGTGCACATTAAAAACTTTGAACATAATTAAAAACACGGCGTTGCTCTTTGTGCATCACTTACAAATTAAACAGCGATGCGTTTTGTTTATTTCTTCACTGGACATAAATGTAGACAGAAACCAAGTGAAATAAAGTGACCCTTTTCCCCCTTTCCAAATAGTCACAAAACATATTTTTCTTTTTATTTCAACATTAACTTCTCAGACTGAACCAGAACGACAGCAGCGAACACTCAAAGCGACTGTTCAGAACAAATAAAAGAGCCAAAACGTCAGCACAAACTGTGCAGCGACCTCCAGTATTCTATGAACTGAAAACACAAGCGTTGGTCCAGCTCATTCAATACGTTAACTTTCAAACCAAAACCGATCTAAGCATCATGTGGGGTGTGTAATGGGGGGAGGAGGGGGGGGTAACTTGGGGTCTTTAGGGGGGAGATAAAGTCAGTTGAAGCAGACGCACAGAACTGGACTGATCAGAGAGAAAGCAGGCAGCGATGAGGAGATGCTCACAGCTCTACTGCTTCACTCTGCAGCCCATCCTGTGCTCACGGCTGCAGTAAATGCGTGTGTGTGTGTGCGTGCGTGTGTGTGTGTGTGCGTGTGTGCGTGTCTATGACAGACAGGGCAGTCATAATATCCACATCAGGTCCTGATGGATGCTCTGGACTCTGCTCCTTGCTGGGGCCTGATTTTACCCTGGAACACCCCTCCGCTCCGCTCGTCCCCTTCTTTCCTTTCCTCGTCCCGTTTGCTAACCGCGCTGATTTCTCCTCAGGCCTTGATCTCAGGGGGCGACGTGTACAGCTGCTCAGAGTTCTCTGCCACCAGGTCCTCTGAGGAGAAACACGAGACAAATAAGGAGGACGAAATAGAAGAAATATAAACACGTTTCCATACAACTGATCGAGTTCAGTGTCATAAAGCCTGTTCCTGCTCTACATGAAGAAGTGCTTAAAGAGTTCATACCAGGAAGGACACACTTCCACAGGCCGTAAGTTTTCCCCACAGCCGTCTGCCAGAGTCGCAGCGTGCCGTCCTCAGAGCCGCTGGCGTACAGCTCTCCATCCGGACTGAAGCGAACACAGTGAACCGGACCAAAGTGACCTTTATACGACTCTGCAGACAGAAGAGAAAGCAACGTAACAATCAGAACTCCACCTTCACAAAAGCTCCGTAACTAAGCTCAGCCGTCATCACGTCTTTGTACGTTAATATTGATTCTGCGACAGCCTCAATATCAGCGTCCCAGTCTGTGAGTTCACATTCCGGTTCATTGTTGTCAAAGAACGGCACGGCGGGAGCTCCACATACACACAGACAGTCAGACGTGCACGCACACACAACGCTGTTCTCAATCGCTGGCTCTGCTGAAACCGTCTCGCCTCTATAACGCCTCTATTACTACCTCTGAAGATGGTAGAGAGGTGGGTTCCCCTCGCCCCCATTAAGCTTCCACAACATTAAGATTGAAGGCGTAACGTCACAGGGGCGTAAATATCGTGGCTTGAAACAGCAGTCTGAGCAGAGCTTTTAGTTACTAGTGTAAAGGTCCAGACTCAAAACAACAGTGAAAAGTAATTTAGCTGATCCAAAGTGTTGAGAGAAAGCTCCTCACCCAGCTCCTCTTTGGTGCCGTAGTCAAATTTGTAGAGCTTGAAGTCTTCTCCGCCCGCAACGAAGAAGTCCTTCTCCGGGTGGAGGGAGGCAGAGTTAATGGGAGCTGGAGCATCCACCTTTTTGATCAAGTCCAGGCTGCAACAGTGACAGAAAGATTTAATGAGACACTTTGTTAATGTGACTTTGGGGAAGAAAGAGAGGATCAGAAGATGCCCTCCAATCCTCGTTCAGGTGTGCAGAACAATAACCATCGGTCTCGTGTGGCAAATATGGAGGCGGTCTGAAGTTAGTTTCCAGGATGAGTACCTCTGAGCGTTGTAGAACGCGATGGTCTTTCCGTACGTGATGACAAGAATCTCTCCTTCCGGCACGTACTCCATGCTGCTGACAGACGTGTCGAACGACAGCGTCTTCACCTCCGTCATGGAGCTTCTGTCCCACAGCCTGCAAACACACACACACACACACACCTTATAGTCTCAGTCAAATTCAGGATCAGAGTTTGACACTTTATGTCCAGGCACTGAAACTACTTCACTGACCGTATGGTTTTGTCGTCTGCAGCCGAGAGGATCTGCTTGTCGTTGTTGCACCATAAGGCTTTTTTAATGGCTGAGGTGTGACCGGCGATCTCCTGAGGGGCTTAATGAGACACGCACACACACACACAGCAGCCAATTACATGAGCAGGCAGAGCTAGTGATGTTAAGAAGGTACAGCCTGTCGGGTATTAAACATTGAACAGAAAGAAGAAGAAATGTCCTAACCTTCAGTCTACCAGAAGCTCCTTACTTTATTTCAAAATAAAAGCACACAGCGAGTTAAGTGCTCTCACATTAAGACAGGACAAATAAAAAAAAATCTTTGGTTGATGTCCACGCAAGACATGAAGTTTAGTCCTGAGTGATAAAATACAAAACACAGCCTCCACGTTTTTTCAACATTATGACTTAAAGCTTAAGAAAAGTCTGCAGTCTGAAGTTTGGACCTGTGTTGGAGCAGGTGATTGAATAGTAAATAAATAGTTTCCCCTCTGACACTGTCACTTACCTGCTTCGTGGTTGGCGAGGTCGTAGATGCGCAGCAGCTTGTCGTTTCCTCCCGTGAGCAGACAGCTGCTGTCCTATGAGGGGAACAGCATACACGCAACCATGAAGGATTTAGAAAGAACATATGAGATGTTCAGGTTTGTTCATCGACAGCTCACTGACCTGAGTAAAGGTGACCGTCTTGACGATGTGTTTGTGTGCCAGTGTGAGGATCTCGTCTCCGCTCACTGCGTCCCACACCTTTCTGAAAAAGCACAGGAGGTCTCCCTCAATGAGTAACAGTTTGGGAGATGCAGGTTGAAAATATAACGTCATATTCATAGACCGTGTTTTTTTTGTGTGTGGGGGGGGGGGGGCGCTGGTAGCCTAGTGGTAAGGATGCACCCCATGTACAGAGGCATAAACCGCCAAGTTGACGTCCCGGGTTCAAATCTGACCTGTGGCTCCTTTCCCACATGTTATTCATCTCTCTCTCTCTGATTTCTTAACCTAATTAATTAAATTTTATAACGTCTTTAGGGAGTTCAAAAAGTTTATTTTAAACTTAAGACTGAGTTGGGTAGAAAAAAAGTGTTAGTTTGCGTTCACACATGCAGCTCCACGATAGGTTTTGGGCAGTTTTCAGGAGTTTTGTGTAAAAAGCTGCTTTCACACCTGCAGAAAACGCCTGATAATTGCCGGAGGAGGTGTATGTGTGAACTCGAAAAGTCTGACTTCACCCGGAGTTTCTCCTCCAGGCTCCTCGTATTTCTTCTGCAGAAAGTCAGAGTGAGCTGATGTGAGAACGCAGCAGGATATAATCAGGAGAATTCACCTGGAGCGAGTGGGAGGGGGTGGTGACGTTTATTCCCTGTGATCGCTGCACGACCATAGACTGTCTGCACGTCACCTCTACCATCTCCGTGCTCTCATGAACCTGCTGCATTGTGTTTCCTGTTCTCCAGAATGTTCTTCGCCACTCTTTAGTTCACATTGAGATTCTGTTTAACTACACGTAGCATTAATAGAAAGACAAATATTCTCATTATAGCGTCGCATAGAGGACTCTGATGATCCGTCTGCTACTTCCACATCGAATGAGACACCCCGCCCCCTCCCTTCCCGTCTGACAGGGATAGTCTCCCTCTGTGAGATGCATGTGTGAACAACCAGATCAGGTGAATTTCAGGGGTAGTCCTCCTGAAACTTCTTTAGAATGGGAATGAGGATAGACTTTGTTCAGGACCCTGTAGGGGTCGGGGAGGACTCACGCCGTGAAGTCAGCTGCGGCCGTGGCTGCTTTGGTGGCGTCTGTGTTCAGAGTGGCTCCCCAGACAGCACCTTTGTGACCCAGAAACGTTCCTATCCAGTCCCCTGTGTCTCCCTGGCGCAACATAGGCTTGCCATCTGACAAAAAGACAAACAGAGAGAAAACAGAGGTTACATCAATAGAGGGGAAGAATAACAGCTGATATTAAATCAATGGATCCTGCAGACAACAGGTGCCTCAGAGTGTCTCACTTTGTTGACACCTGATTTTGACTTGTAGCTCAGGTTATCCAGGATCAAGACTCCCATCATGCTCTGATCATGTCCATCAAGTGACACCTGTCGTCCAATCACAGCCCCTCTACCGTGCATCAGATTTACATACAGCATCAAAAGCGAAGAAATAAGTTTTGCTCGGATAAACCGCCAAAAGAAAGAAAACACTGAGCATCTACAACAAGCGGTCGGAAGTAAAGAAGAGGGTAAAGCTTGTCAGCCGAGAATCAGGGCCGATCCCGATGTTTGATTCACGACTTCAAACTCACACAATGCAACACTTTTCTCTCATGTTTGAAAATGTGTTTAACAGGTGATTTCATCAGCCAGATAAAAACTACTCTTCTCTGAATCAGACAGGTTAACTAGGTGTGTGAGCATTACATTTACATTCAATCTTCCATATTTAATCTTCCTATTTAAGACTAGTAATGCTCAGTTAAATCCTGGTTGTATATATTCACATTCTTAGTTTTGATATCTTTGTAGTTAATATTATATTGTGTTTAGATTTGCTAACATTGTGTTTTTTTACTCATATTGTGTGTTTGGATAACCTGCTGCTGTAACGCCACAATTTCCCAATTTGGGATCAATAAAGTAATTCTATTCTATTACACTGAATTGGCACAACAAATAAACATCGGCTACATTATTTGTCGATGTGTCGATGTCCTTTAACAGAACGATACAGATGTTGAACAGATGCATCCCTAGTTTCACTCACTTCCTTTAATAAACTTACTCTCCTGAGCTGGAGGTCTGTGACATCATTTGTTATTTCATGGGTCTTTTGTGGGGGAAATTAGATCCATTGATATAAACTTACATAATAATACAGTTCTACTAACACTACTACTACTACTACTACTACTACTTATTGCGTCTGTATCCCCATTCATACCTCCCCCTCCTCCCTCACAGATGTGACACTGAGCTCAAAAAATAAACATGTTGGCACCTTTACCGTTTCATACAAAAGAGTTACACCTTTAAAACATCAAAATGAATCCTGACATGTTGAATATAAAGATACAAAGCCAGGTGATGTGACATGTAATGGTCTGGGTTTATTGTGTCTCTGCAGCCGCAGACCTGAACACCTCCCCGGTCTCACCTTTACAGGCGCTGATGAGGAAGTATCCGTGGGGAGTGATTCCACTGAAGGCCAGGTCCACCACGGGCCGGGTGTGACCCGAACAGGTGAGCGGAGTCTGTCTCATCGCCATGGTCCTCCGGTCGGACACGAGACGGATCTCACTGAGGGGAGGAAACGGTGAACGGACGCTTAGCGCTAGCAGGCTAACAGCGCTCGCAGGCTAACAGCGCTAGCAGGCTAACAGAGAGAAAGACAGCGAGCTAGCAGGTGTTTAGGTGAATTGTTTCAGTTTAACAGGGACGGTCGGATTCTGAAATTAATGATGATCAACTACGTAGGTTGGTTAAACTCAACGGCGGGTCTCCCTCCCAGCGAAGGAATGGCTAGCGTGCTAATAGCTACAACATTGCAACTAGCTAGCAACGTGCGAAGCGGCGAAACACCGCTTAGATGATATAGCCGGCGTTAGCCTAGCCAACAAGAAGCTAATACTTCCGGGGTCGGAGAAGAGAACGACTACGTCACGACGGTCACGTATTCAAAGTTACCGTTACTCTCCATAATAATAAATAATAATAATAATACATTTTATTTGCAATGCCCTTTACATTTTTAGATATAACATCTCAAAGTGCTACAGAGAAAATAAAATAAAATAAAATATATTCAATAAAATAATAAATCATGCGAATAAGAACAGGAAGGCAATAAGGATACTAAAAACACTCTCCAAAGGCTCTGCTAAAAAGGTGGGTTTTTAGGCCCATCCCACTTTTCCACCTGTTTCTGAGTAAACATATAATGGTAACCATTTTCAATCCAAAGCATTTTAATCTTTGAAAAGAAATGCAGAAATTATTTTTTTTATCAGAAATTGAATTTCCTCGGGATCAATAAAGTATCTATCTATCTATCTATCTATCTATCTATCTATGTCTCGCTGAAAAATGTATTTCCCGTAAACACAGCACAAATTTGATAAACATGTATCTAAAATCCACTATCCCTTAAACAAAAGAAACACAGAAAAAATATCCCCTGATAAACACAGCAAACATGTGATAATCATTTGATTAATGAGAACTATGTATCCATCCCCCTAAGACAAAAGACTCACATTTCAAAATTCTGATGACATTTATCCTTCTAAAGAATTACAAAATTGCGTTTTAACATCGATGATATCATGTGCTCAGGGGCGTATTCAGAGGGGTGGCCTCTAGAAATCTGATTGGCCACCCTAACAAATTCTGAACTGTGATTGGCTATTTGCCCTGTCAGAGGCGGGACTTATGTTAAAACCAACTATTAGGTATTTTTTTGCAAAGGCTGGCAGTATTTTTTCTTTACATATCACACGTAACATATTTACTTTTGTTTGTACTTTAAATGTAATTAAATAAAAATGCACATCTATTTCATAAAATAGGGAAGTATGCACTCTGTCTTACTTGCAGTGAACGAACTGGCCATGTGTTGGGACCAAAACTAATGTAATGTTCTTTTAAGTTAGACTGTGCAGGACTTTGCATGCACATTTTTAAGTACTTTACATTGTGACTTCAACATAAATCTTATTTTTTTGTCATTCAAAATTAAACTAATGTATCCATGACATTGTGTTATAAAGTGACTATGATTGGTAAAGTTAGAAATGGTAGATATTTGATATTTGTTTGTGTGTGTTGTGCATATCACACTTCAGGCCCCTCTGCAAAAGTCAGAGCCCCATTTGGGTCAGCCAGGTCAAGGAAAAGTCTGGACACGCCCCTGCATGTGCTTATTTTGTAATAAGGATGTTTTTCTCATGTGATATAATTTATATATTTTGGGTCTCATGTAACCTATCATCTCCAGAGACAATGTTTTATTTGTTATAATCCTGAAAGACAAAAATGATTAACTTTGTATGAATGTGATTCTGTTTAGCAAAGTTTTACAAGTAAAGCTTTAAAATCGCCCCCCCTATGTTTGCAGCTTTATAGAATTACTTTAAAATCCTTAAAACCGATTTGAGGTAAAATAGATGACAATGTTTTGATATTTACCTTTTTTATTTGTTTATTTTTCTCTCTCTTGTATTTATTTCATGAGATCTCATATTTGATAACCACAACAGTGTTCCCATGGGTTTTCTTTAAGACATGAAAATAAACTTAAATGTTGCCATATTGTTGTACTTGTTTTGCACATTTGTACAATTTTCAATAAAGGTTTGAACAAAAATCCAGCTTTCCCCCACGGTATGACTTTCTTTAATTCCTGCTGTGTTGTTTTAAAGATACTGTATATTTGATCGGATAAAAGTGAGGAAAGACTTGTGCAGTGTGCTTAGTCTGCTCTCCAGAGGGCGCCTCCTCCTCCTCCTCCTCCGCCCATCCTCCGTGTGATGATGCTGGAGCAGCAGAGGCTCCACACCGACGGAGCTGCAGCAGGAGGATGACGGGCAGCAGCGGGGAGTGTGCCTTGCTTCACGGCTGCGGGCAGAGATGGCGTCCTGGGGCCGGTGAATAAGCAGAAAAGGCGAGCGGAGGGAGGGGACGAGGATGCGGGAAGAGGAGGACGAGGAGCTGCATCATTCAGAACATTACATGGCTGAGGCAGACTTTCGATGAGGAAGAAGCGCTGTGAGGATTTTCACGGATGTTTTTTTGTTCTTTTTTTTTTTTTTGTTCTTTTTTTTTTTTAATGAGATTTGAAGCAGAGGTGTGACTCCTCGGAGGGGGGGCGGTGGGGGTTTGTTGTCTACCTCAGCTGTTTCTCCCCCCGGCGGGGCTCTCTGCTCATCCGACGCAGGGAGGAAAGGGCAGCAGGGGGAGGCGGGGAGGGAGGGAGAGAGGGGCGATGGCCGCCGGTGGAGCAGGATGCGGGGAAACGGTGGAGCAGTGCCGGGCCGAGGTGGAGCGTCTGACACGGGAGCTGGCGGAGGCGAACCGGGAGAAGGTCCGTGCGGCGGAGTGCGGGCTGGTGGTCCTGGAGGAGAACCAGAGCCTGAAGCAGCAGTACGCGGACCTGGAGGCCGAGCAGGAGGCGCTCAAACAGGAGCTGGAGCAACTGCAGGAGGTGGGCTCAGCAGGGGTATGATTCCCACTCCCAAAAGTACTATTAGAAATATGTCACAGCTTCCGCCTTTACATCTCATTATAGGCTCCTGTATTAATGTGATTGAGCATGAGATCATCAGTCAGACTAAAACAAAGATGCACATCACTTCATATTGTTGACATAGAGAGCTCTGATGTTCTGCTCTTGAGGCTCCATGTTCACCTGCTGGACTGAAAACAATAGACAGGCCCAGATCATAACAGAGACAATAGGCTCTCCTCACATGGACATTAACTTCAATGCAGTTTAGAGAGAAAGGTGTAAGCAACAAGGTGCTAAATGATATTGACCACGTTGGACAACAACACAATATCTATAGACCCCGAAAGTTTGTCTTGATACAGTTTGGCCTTTCGACCAGAGGTTCCCAAAAATGTTCAGCCCGCGACCCCTGATAATAAGGTGCTGGAGACTGGGGACCCCCACTGTCCCTGGGTTCCAATATTTAACATTGCTTACTTAAAGGCCTTTAGGAATTACAACAACACAAGAGAACACAACAGCTCAAACACAGAAACATTTTTTATTCATTTATTGAAAGAAATGCAAGAAGCAGAACACAAGTCATCTCCTGAACTCCTTTAAAAATATATATATTTTCACAAAAATGGGTCAAATATGTAATATTAATAATAATAATAAAAAAAAGTAATAAAACTACTCAAATCACTTCGCAAACATTGAGAAACCTCTACTTGAACAGTGACATGTATTTCACTGTTCCTCCCCCTGATCCATCAGTTTGATACAACATAATAAGATATGCATTGACTGATGCAGCTTTGAGTGTGTGCACAGCCTTCGTCACGTTACTCTTTTCTCGCTCCTCATGGCTTTAACAAAGAAATGAATCATGATCATGAGGACATTCACTTCAAACTGCTTCCTGTTGATGAACTCTGAGCTTTTAGAGTCGAGTCTGAGGGCGTGTCCCACTGAGCAAGTTGTTTTTAGATTAGGGCCGTCAAACGATGCATTTTTAAATCCTGATTAATCGATACGTTTCAATAGTTTGAAAATCTATTATTTCACTTTTCAAAAGAAGAGTTTTCAGGCTTTTATTTTGATTTGCTTGTACTGTTTTAAGCTGAGAGTACTTTACTTCCTGCATGCTTTTATTTTGAAAAAAAAGTAAGGCCCTTCCTGTAGATGGAAGGTTAGGACATGAAGTTAAGCAGAGAAACAGGAAGTGGTTAGGGATCCCAAACTGAGGTCAAACAGGTCAAAGGAAGGGTAACAAAGGTCAAAGTGTGATGTCATAAGGTGGATATTACTTTGGACTCGTCAGCTGAGCTGTCTGAGAGTTTGTTAAAGTGAAATGAGACATTCAAAGATGCAGCAGTGTCCTTCTTTAACATCACTGAGACTACAGGGAGACATTGAGGACGACTATCTACGGTGAGCCTGAAGGGACAAAATAACATGAGGTTAATTGTGGCTAACTTGTGATTGCTGACAGCCCTAATTTTATCCATGTATTTTAGCCCTAAAAAGTGGATGCAGATATCCCACAATGCATCACAGCAGGTAACAAACAACAGATGGTCACTTACCCAGCTACTTAAACCATCAAGCACTGTGCAGAAAGACCAAGAAAGTGATGACGCTACAAACAGCACAGGAAGAAATGATTCTGGTTCTGTACTTCCTGTATGTTAAGAGGAGCAGAGTGAGACAGGACTTTATGTTCCCGTGTGCATGTTGAAGCCACAGGATCATGATGCTTGTTGTTGTTTTATTTCTGATACAAAGTGAGCGGGCTGATGACTCGAGCCGGTGGCTGAATGTCTGAGCTCCTGATTTCTGTTAGAACTGTAGTCAGCGCTCGTAAACAAACGTCCAGCATGTGATCCTTTAAAAACATGCAGAGTAAACATGCGTCACAACACATGATTCTGCCGGGTGTCCCGTTTCCCCTCTGCTGATTTATTTTCACTGAGTCTGATGGTCGATAACGACCCGCGCTGGCGTCTCGTAGCATTAAATCATTTTTCTGATCAATGCACAGAACAGCCTTTTACAACATGTAGGCTAACGTACAGTTACAGTAATTCATCAGTCCAAAAGATGAATCAGGGTTTGAGTCGGACGCTGACGGTGCAGCGACACGCTGAAGGTCAGTGTGTGTTTCAGTGTGTGTACGGCTCACAGGAAGTAGTTCAAACAGACGATGTGTACAGTTTGTTATTTTTCAGTTAACTATGAACTCTCTGATCTGTTGGAGTAAACAGCAGAAAGAGAAACCAAACTGTTGGCTCGTTTAAATGGAGATGACTCAGGTTCAGTCTCTGGTTTAAACTAAGGTTGTAATTGATCATATTCACACAGCGGCCATTTTCTCTGTCATGAAGTTCAGAATGGAGTCCTTAAAGACAGAGTCAGCATCTTCTTCCTTCAAAATAAAATACAGACTTCTCTTTTAGTAGTAAAGCTGCTCCATCGTCCCTTCTGGGCCTCCGTACATGTGTGGTGGTGACTGTGTCTGCAGAGACTCTGTCCTCTGACTGGATTTTACTGTTCAGGGAAGTTTAGGAGTGGATACAATTCAACGATTGGACGGCATTCATACCGGCAAATATGGCGTACGTGGATGTAGCGGCTAAGAAGAGAAAATATAATCACATTGAGGTGAAACGTCGAGCAGTTAAAGCTCGTTCCATAAAGATTGTGAACCTCGGGTTGGCTTTCACCCGCTTTGGGCACTTAAAGAGCGGCTTGGGATGAAGAGCGATGCAGAGTTGGCCTGCTTTCTGTTGGACTGGCAGGTGAAAAACACCTTTTCTAACACAACAAATGTAATATTCTCGGGGGCGGCGGTAGCGTATTGGTTGGTGCGTGTTCCCTCTGTACCAAGACCGTGGTCCTCCGGACGGGTAGCCTGGGTTCGAGACCAGCCTGTAGCTCCTTAGCGTGCAAACAAACTTCATGCCACTCCTGCATAAATCAGGACCCCAGTCTAAGAAGTCCGTATTCGTGCCTTCTCCTGAAACTAACACGTTTAGTAAATTTCATAAATGAAGTATTTTGTGCCTTCCTCTCGGTGTGGATTGGGGATTGCGTTGGTTTGAATGGTCGGGGAAACACTGGTGTATAAGGTGCACAGCGCACAGAGCGGTGCCATCTTTAAATTGAGGCGAACGCAGAAAGAATGTGGTGTTCAGAAAATCCTCTCCGTCCTTGGACCCGTTTTCAAGTCCCATAATCCTCCTCGTCCCTCAGGCTGCATCCTCCTGTACACACATCCTCTTTATCTAGTCTCCGTTCCAGCCCCGATAACTCAATATCTCTCATTTCATCTCATTTCATCTCATTCCAGCTCATTGGACTCTTATCGATCCTCTCTGACACGGGGCGCTCTGCTGGCGGGGGGGATGCTCACCCTGATGGGAGAGGGATAATAATTTGTCTATTATCAGTTTCTCTGTAAGAAGGATCCCTCGACACTAGTCTTTTAAAGATCCCTGAGCTTTAAGACCCTTTTAGTGAACTTTCAATGTCATAACTCGCCTGTTGTGTCGTGCTGCATCGGGTATTAATGTAAACAGGGTGGATCTTTTGTATATGGACAAACAGACGACAAGTCTTTTGGTGTAAAGGCGTGTTGTTGGGACCATGTCGAGCAGTTTTTCTGTAACGACTGACGATTGTTCGGGCGATGATGTATCGTTGTGGCGGGTCGTTGATGTGCAGGCTTTCATCCATTGCGATGCCAAACTCAGAAGACCGTTTATGTGTCAGAGTATTTCCAATGTTCTCTGAAGTATCCGATGCCCTCCGAGCCACACAAGAGTCTGACAGTTTACGTTTTTTTACATACATCCTCGAGAAACAACGTCGAGCAGGCGAGCGATATGCAATCACTGATCGAAGGTGACAGGAACAGATCAGACTCCTCCGCCTGACTCTGACTCCAGCTGATTGTGAGGCCACAGAGTTCAAATCTAAAGTGATATAAATAGTTTCTTCTATAAATGATTCACCGTAGCATACTTTCTACACTGAGGCTTGGCGCTGGATGGAAACATTACTTTTTTATGGACATGCAGGCAGTTGAAGCACCATTCATAATCTTCATATCTTTCTTTTTCTGTCATTCACTTCATACAACATGAAATATGTTATTCAGTTCTCATGTAAAGCTGTTGTGTTTCCATGCAAAATCTGTAAACTTAAACTGAGTGCACTAAAAGCTTTTGAGCTTGATTAAAGGAGCAATATATAACTCTGACACCTCGTGTTTCAAATGGGTACTGCAGTCCAAATTCTAAACATTGTAGAGAGCTGTCTCCCCCCCGCCCCCTCCTCTCTAGAGTCGATGCTCACGCAGGTTCCCATGTGGTGGACACTGAAGCTTCAGCCAGCTCTGCATAAACCTTTCTGCGTTCTAACCTCTCTCCATTTTTCAAAAGCATCTCCAATATTGATCCTAGTTTGAGCACGTTTCTGCTCGTGGAGCTTATTAGAAACATGCAGAGGCTTTTTAGGTTGGGTACAATCACTTCTATCTGAACCACTTCTCTTGCCCGCTTCCATCGCTGCAACACCTGTTGACCTGATAACTGCTCTCATATCTGACAAACCGAGGGGCGTCCAAAACAGCCGTGTGGGGGTGTCTTAAAACCGTCTACCTTCTCTGGTCCAAACAAATCCAGAGCATTCAGGAGCAGAATCTAAAGTTAGAAGGAGGACATACTGACTGCTGCATTGTTGTCAGAGAAGCCAGCACTTCAACATAGCATGTTTCCTTAATGTCTGATCATATAGTAAGGTCACTTTATCATTTCACTCACTACACATCTCACATGTTGGTCCTTTATGTTTTTTTTTGCCTTTGTTGAAAACACTTGTTGCTAGGTCGGATGTTGAAATACACCTGCAGAGTTCTCTTTGACTGAGAGAACATTTTACTCAACTTTACGGTTAAGAAAATGTGAAAAAATGGCAGCTGGCGACACACT